CAGTGTGTGCGTGTTACATAAGACAACCAACTGTGGTCTGTTCTTTAGGCATGAGAAAGCGTGTTCTTCAGCTCTAAAACTGTGTTCTTCAGATTTATGAAAGTTAGCAATTGTGTATGAATTTCCCGTGACAGCCCAGCTCGCATTGTCTACAACAAACTAGCGAGGATGTTGAGTGTATGTCCGCAGTCTTCGTGGTGTAACACGGTGCACCGACGACCTCTCACGAGAACTGATCGACTACAGATCAGCCATTTTGTTTGATTATTACTTGAAAGAATAAGGCAAACGTACACTTGTTGATTAAAACACTGACGAACGGAAGAGGATACACGTATATATAGTTGATGGCTTTCTGTATGGGTGTCCACTAATTAACCCAGACTTGGTTCCGTCTAAGTTGACTGATGGGCGGAAGACAGACGTCCGCCCCCTCCCCTCGGAAATGAGAAACACACCCAAGATGCTGGATAACGATTCAGAAGTGATATAATTCAGAGAAAATTAATAGTTTGTAGTATGTGGAAGACTTGATGTTCGTGTGTAGTTAGTACAGGTTACTGCGTTTTGAAATTGATCGGTCTGTCAATTAAATTCTTCAGTCACCGCTGGTGAATGTACTTGAGATACACAACCCAAACTACCCCAAGTACGACTGTAGCGGCGTCACTACCACACGCCCAGGAGGAAACAAGCACCTCTAAATTAACACTTAAAGCTGACAGGACTGCTACATTCACACTTCAAACGTGTAACAATCGGTGCATTTACACTTCAAACATGATGTCTTCTAGTTTCACTCTTTGAGGACGACGTTCTTTTCATTTACAATTACATGAAAATATCTACATCAACTTAACAACACCACTGCAAAATCACTATATCTACACTCGAATAATTGAAAAAGACGACCCTAATACACTCCACACTCGGAGAGATCCCTTCAACCACCTGAGAAGATATGGGACTAGATGGGTTCTGTCAGTGGTGGTGGCCACGCGTAGGCAACTGTGTAACCTCTTGTACTTGTACTTGAAGTTAGATTGGGTTACATACTTACATCTCCTCTTGAATGGTGACATTAGCCATTATGTCAGTTCACATGTGACGTTATACGTTTGTTGTGGTCCCCACACACGTCAAGTGCCACATGGCCCTCTGCCACGAGATCCACGGCAGTACATGAACGGGAGTTAATCGCAGCCGTCACCAGTGGTTCCCACGGGGGAATTAACGCTGCTCTGTTACAGGGGAAAACATTACATGCCCAAACGTTTTGAAAATGTAGATTTGAGTCAGATATTATTTGTTCCTATGCACCGGTATCAGTGGGCCTGTAGCATTACCGAGTCTGTCATGGCTGTCAGCACCACTGGTATCAGTGGGCCTGTAGCATTGCCGAGTCTGTCATGGCTGTCAGCACCACCGGTATCAGTGGGCCTGTAGCATTACCGAGTCGGTCACGGTTGTCAGCACCACCGGTATCAGTGGGCCTGTAGCATTACCGAGTCTGTCATGGCTGTCAGCACCACCGGTATCAGTGGGCCTGTAGCATTACCGAGTCTGTCATGGCTGTCAGCACCACCGGTATCAGTAGGCCTGTAGCATTACCGAGTCGGTCACGGTTGTCAGCACCACCGGTATCAGTGGGCCTGTAGCATTACCGAGTCGGTCACGGTTGTCAGCACCACCGGTATCAGTGGGCCTGTAGCATTACCGAGTCTGTCACGGTTGTCAGCACCACCGGTATCAGTGGGCCTGTAGCATTACCGAGTCGGTCACGGTTGTCAGCACCACCGGTATCAGTGGGCCTGTAGCATTACCGAGTCTGTCACGGTTGTCAGCACCACCGGTATACGTTCCCCAATATGGCGCTATTTATACATCTAGAGCTCTCGTCATCTTTCGTGTTGCAAAGAAAAAGTTGATGCAGATTCCTTTTTTAACACCTTGTTATATGATTTCTTCATTTCTAGTTGTTGTTTTACCATTAATCGAACGTCTCAGAAGCGCCACGATTACCCTGCCATATGTCGAACTGTCATCAGCTGCAGATGCCTGATATTGTCCCAAATAGCATATAGCATGAGCCCAAACCAGACTTCTAGGTAGCTATGATATTGGTGAGACGTGTCTTCACAAGACCGAAGGTTTTATCAGATGATACCTTCAGGACAAGTGGTCTTTTAAGAACGTTATCAAACACAATTATATACATGTAATACGAATTACCTACTCACATTAGCCAAACCAAAACATGCTGATTACCGACAGTGTAAAGATGTGCAACTGTGACGTGGTAGACTAGTACGTACACGGCGACTAAGTTTACCTTGCCCCTGCTCGTGTGTTGCACGAATATTGCTAATAGGGGTCAAACGGTATCCGGTGGTGTTAGTAGAAGCGCGGTATTTTGCCTTCGGTTCAGTATACCGTAATGCAATCGAGAAATTCGATATTTTCAGGTTTCGTACCGTTCTTCTATCTAGTCATTAAGTGACATTTTTGTTCACTCAAAATAACAAATACAGTTATGGTTATTTTCTCCATGTTATTTTAAAATGTAAGGTTTGGCTCTTGTCAATTTTCTGCCTTATGATCATATCTCATATACCAAACCGAACCTTTGTACCGCAATACATACCGTACCGTATTATGAGCGTACCGTTTCATCCCTAATTGCTGACTGCGGCGATAAACTAAATTCACTCGGCGAATCTCCCTCACATGTATCATTGTAGGGAGTATTGCCATAAATCTACAGAATCTAAGTATTGTCGTAAAATGAAAGTCGTAGAACATAAACAGAGCTGGCGATGTTTAGTTGGATGTCTGATTGCCGTTAAATCTACATATACACAGTCAGGGAACCTTAAATATGTACAGTCGCAACGCAGTGTGGGGAAATTGATACCGATGCGGTACTAGTAACGTGAAAGTTCCTTTGTGAGACGTGTTGATTTATATTCTTTGTCATAACTCTGAATCGCCAACTCCCTGCGTGCCTGCTGTGGTTCTGGCAGTGGAAGTCCTGCCATGACAAAATGAGCGGGGCGTCAGTAAACGGAAACAGCATCCATGATTGGTGTTTAAACAGGGAGACTTCCATTGGTGGTTTCATATTCACCTAACTAACGACAAAATACTGGATTGCTTCATTTACGTAATTCAAACTATCCAAACCCTTTCATGTTGGTCGCTTTAATCAGATTTACCTTTGATATTTGTTACTGATTCTCAGTGCAGTTTTCATGGGTATCTGAATATGTCATGGCACTATAAAGACGATAGCACAGCTTAACTCCGGTTGGTTTGCTCGACTCCTGCACTGGTTAGACGATCCTTCACCTCAAAGTCTCAGGACATCGCGTGGGCGTGTGGCAGGGACGTGCCTTCACCTGCTGAAGTCAAATGTCAAGTTCACATCCCCGTGAAAAATGATGATGAGATTTACAAATTAGATTTCGGGGTATTGTGAAGAGCCCCGTTGATATTATCTAACAAGATAGCTCATGACGTCGGACTTTGTGTAGTCTGGAGGAAATTCCTTAAGTCTTCAAGTAACTCTGAGATAGTAATACATACACAAGAATTGTCATACTTGTACACTTTGGATGGAAACTGTATGCTGCATTTTTGTCATCACGCGACATAGGGATGGCATAAAGATACGTATACGATTTACGCAAAGCAACCTTTGTACATGCAGTGATAAACAATGATTATATTAACGTAAAGCATCTGTGTCTCAGTAGTGACACATAGCAATTGCATGAAGACAGCTACGGTTAACATATGGGATTTTGGCTTTTTTAACGCATGGAAACATATGGGATTCGCGTCTATATAGCTACTGTTAGCACATGGGATTTGCCTCCTGACAGCTATTGTTAACATATGGGATTTGCGTCTATATAGCTACTGTTAACATATGATATTTGCATATCGAAAACTACTGTTAACATATGGGATTTGTGTCTGAATACCCATTGTTAACATATGGTATTTGCAGCTCGAAAGCTACCTTTAACATATGGGATTTGCATCTCGAAAGCTACTGTTAACTTATGGGATTTACCACCAGACAGCTACTGTTAACATATGGGAATTGCGTCTACATAGCTACTGTTAACATATGGGATTTGCACCTCGAAAGCTATTGTTAACATATCGGATTTGCGTCTATAGAGCTGCTGTTAAAATATGATATTTGCATATCGAAAGCTACTGTTAACATATGGGATTTGCATCTAGAAAGCTACTGTTAACATATGGGATTTGCGTCTATATATCTATTGTTAACATATGGGATTTGCACCTCGAAAGCTACTGTTAACATATGGGATTTGCATCTCGAAAGCTATTGTTAACATATCGGATGTGCGTCTGTATAACTGCTGTGAAAATATGGGAATAACGTCTATATAGCTACCATTAACATATGGGATTTGCGAAGAGTGACTGCTAATAGTATATTTGAGCATAACTAGTTGCTGTTGACACATAGTGTTTGCCTTTGGCGTCTGTTTTCGTATGGTATTTGCATGTAATGACTATACAACAAGTATACTGGCTGTTAACATTGGGTATTGGAAAGAGTGAGTGAGTGAGTATGGTTTTACGCCGCTTTTAGCAATATTCCAGCAATATCACAGTAGGGGACACCAGAAATGGGCTTTACACGTCGTACCCATATGGGGAATCGAACCCGGGCCTTCGGCGTGACGAGCGAACGCTTTAACCACTAGGCTACCCCACCGCCCCCGGTATTGAATAGAGTATACTGATTTGGAATATGCATTAATATATACAAAATATGGAATAATTTGACATCGTGATAATTTTGCATGTAGTGTTAACTTGTGCTATTTGCATTAACATATAAAAGTACGGCTTACAGTAGCCTGGACACAACGATTCTTCAAGGATTATTTCGTTGAAAACAATTTCATCATCTGAAACTATATCTAACAACACTGATTGGTAATGTTTGATTTCAGAATTCCGAGATTGACATCATGTCCTCAACTGGAGCAAAGATCGAACCGTGGACTTTGAGCCGGATACAATTGCCTCGTCTGTCAAAAACCTTCAGCAGTGACGGGTGAGTGATAGATATTGGTACCTTGTCAGTAGAGACACACACACACAAACACACACCCGACGTGCAGCGACATACACCCGTACCTTCACAGTAGAGACACAGACTCCTGACGTGCAGCGACGTACACCCGTACTTTGACAGTAGAGACACAGACTCCCGACGTGAAGTGACGTACACCCGTCGCTTGTCAGTAGAGAGACACCCTCCCGACGTGCAGCGACGTGCACCCGTACCTTGTCAGTAGAGAGACACCCTCCCAACGTGCAGTGACGTGCACCCGTCCCTTGACAGTAGAAAGACACCCTCCCAACGTGCAGTGACGTACACCCGTACCTTGACAGTAGAGACACAGACTCCCGACGTGCAGTGACGTGCACCCGTACCTTGACAGTAGAGAGACGACCTCCCGACGTGCAGCGACGTGCACCCTTACCGTGTCAGTTGAGAGACACCCTCCCAACGTACAGTGACGTACACCCGTCCCTTGACAGTAGAGAGACACCCTCCCAACGTGCAGTGACGTGCACCGTCCCTTGACAGTAGAGAGACACCCTCCCAACGTGCAGTGACGTACACCCGTACCTTGACAGTAGAGAGACATCCTCCCAACGTGCACCCGTACCTTGTCAGTAGAGACACAGACTCCCAACGTGCAGTGACGTACACCCGTACCTTGTCAGTAGAGACACAGACTCCCGACGTGCAGTGACGTACACCCGTACCTTGTCAGTAGAGACACAGACTCCCGACGTGCACCCATACCTTGACAGTAGAGACACAGACTCCCGACGAGCAGTGACGTACACCCGTCCCTTGTCAGTAAAGAGACACCCTCCCAACGTGCAGTGACGTACACCCGTCCCTTGTCAGTAGAGAGACACCCTCCCAACGTGCAGTGACGTGCACCCGTACCTTGACAGTAGAGAGACACCCTCCCGACGTACAGCGACGTGCACCCGTACCTTGTCAGTAGAGAGACACCCTCCCAACGTGCAGTGACGTGCACCCGTACCTTGACAGTAGAGAGACACCCTCCCGACGTGCAGCGACGTGCATCCGTCCCTTGACAGTAGAGAGACACCCTCCCGACGTGCAGCGACGTGCACCCGTACCTTGTTAGTAAAGACACAGACTCCCGACGTGCAGTGACGTACACCCGTCACTTGTCAGTAGAGATACACCCTGCCGACGTGCAGTGATGTGCACCCGTACCTTGACAGTAGAGAGACAGACTCCCAACGTGCAGTGACGTACAACCGTACCTTGTCAGTAGAGAGACACCCTCCCAACGTGCAGTGACGTACAACCGTCCCTTGACAGTAGAGAGACACCCTCCCAACGTGCAGTGACGTGCACCCGTCCCTTGACAGTAGAAAGACACCCTCCCAACGTGCACCCGTACCTTGTCAGTAGAGAGACACCCTCCCAACGTGCAGTGACATGCACCCGTCCCTTGTCAGTAGAGACACAGACTTCCGACGTGCAGCGACGTGCACCCGTCCCTTGTCAGTAGAGACACAGACTCCCGACGTGCAGCGACGTGCACCCGTACCTTCTCAGTAGAGAGACACCCTCCCGACGTGCAGTGACGTACACCCGTACCTTCTCAGTAGAGATACACCCAACCCACGTGCAATGACGTGCACCCGTACGTTATCAGTAGAGATACAACCAACCCACGTGCAATGACGTGCACCTGTACCTTCTCAGTAGAGAGGGACGTGATAACCTTGCACTTAATCACTGTCCTGTTAAAAGGTAGCTAGCACAGTAACACGAGAAAGAGGTTTTCAACATCCGTTCATTATCTTTGATTTGGGGTCATTCTGGCATCGTCTGTATGTCTGTGAGAGTGTTTTGAGTCTAGAGTGTGGTGACACTTGCTGGTTATGTAAGGCTACTCATGACTAATGATAATGTTTCATCTCTCATCTACAGCCGAGCGTCCGTTATATATCGGATACCGACCGATTAGCTTCACTCTTAACTCTGTTAAAACATATAAGCGTCAAATTACCGCCGCCCTCGCGTCTTTGCAGAAATCATATGTCGTCCAAGACTGTTAATTCATTCTGTTAGTTATATATCTTAAAACATGGTTCCACACAAGGAAGTATGGGCCTTATATTGCCGTGGGACACACAAGGTAGGCGTTGACATATGAGCCAGCGTATGCCAGAAGCACTTCGCGTGGGTCGCCGGAAGTTCTCCAGCAACGGCGTTGCAGATTAGAATTCTTACAACTGGAGAATCCCTAAAATACTGCTCAGTTATTCTGGATGAACATTCATGTCACGATACATGTTGCCATTGTGTCACAAGTTACCATTAGAGTCACGGTTCTTTCAGTGTCTTTTACATATTACAATAAAGCCACGGTTCCTGACAGTGTCTGTTACAAGTTACAATTAGAGCCACGGTTCCTGACAGTGTCTGTTACAAGTTACAATTAGAGCCACGGTTCCTGACAGTGTCTGTTACAAGTTACAATTAGAGCCACGGTTCCTGACACTGTTACATATTACAATTAGAGCCACGGTTCCTGACAGTGTCTGTTACAAGTTACAATTAGAGCCACGGTTCCTGACAGTGTCTGTTACATGTTAGTGTTTTTTTCACATGTTACAGTTAAGACCACAGTTCTTGTCATTGTCTTTTATATGTTCATATGACATAGGTTCCAACAGTTCCATTGTCGTAACGGTTCCACTTTGCTCTGGCCATTTCACAAACCAGACGTGGCCTGGTTCACAAACCAGACGTGGTCAAAGCAGGACACCAAGAAATATTTCAGTTTAACTAAGGAGCCTCTCGTCTGTTGCAGGCACAAACTAACTTTCGAGTTCAAGACAACATCCCAGTCGGGGCTGTTGTTCTATGGCACCATGAGGAATCGGAGAGCGTCCAAGCTCATCGTGCTGCAGCTGGTCCGGGGCAAACTGTTCTACACCACCAGGTGCCCGTCAGCTGACTCCGGACTGCTCCTCCCCACACCCTACAGGTTGGACGACGGCAAGTGGCACACTGTGAGTACCTGGTGTATCACGACTAAATGGATGAAACAGTATGCTGGGTTGTAACGATAACAGTACATAGGACGTAACGGGACATATAGTAGTAACTGTATGTAGTTGGTAAGGGTACACAGGACATAACGGTATATGTAGTGGGTAAGGGTACACAGGACATAACGGTACATGGGGGATAACGGTATGTAGTGGGTAAGGGTACATAGGACATAACGGTACATGGGGGATAACTGTATGTAGTGCGTAAGGGTACAAAGGACATAACGGTACATGGGGGATAACGGTGTGTAGTGGGTAAGGGTACATAGGACATAACGGTACATGGGGTATAACTGTATGTAGTGCGTAAGGGTACAAAGGACATAACGGTACATGGGGGATAACTGTATGTAGTGCGTAAGGGTATATAGGACATGACGGTACATGGGGGATAAGTGCATGTAGTGGGTAAGGGTACACAGGACACAACGGTTAATGGGGGATAACTGTATGTAGTGAGTAATGGTACATAGGACATAACGGTACATGGGGGATAACTGTATGTAGTGGGTAAGGGTACACAGGACATAACGGTATATGGGGGATAACTGTATGTAGTGCGTAAGGGTACATAGGACATAACGGTACATTGGGATAACTGTATGTAGTTGGTAAGGGTACACAGGACATAACGGTACATGGGGGATAACTGTATGTAGTGCGTAAGGGTACACAGGACATAACGGTACATGTGGATAACTGTATGTAGTTGGTAAGGGTACACAGGACATAACGATACGTAGGGGATAACGGTATATGTAGTGGGTAAGGGTACACAGGACATAACGGTACATAGGGGATAACGGTATATGTAGTGGGTAAGGGTACACAGGACATAACGGTACGTAGGGGATAACGGTATATGTAGTGGGTAAGGGTACACAGGACATAACGGTACGTAGGGGATAACGGTATATATAGTGGGTAAGGGTACACAGGACATAACGGTACATGGACATAACTGTATATAGTGGGTAAGGGTACATAGGACATAAAGGTACGTGGGGGATAACGGTATGTAGTGGGTAAGGCGACACTTGACATAACGGTACATGGAGATAACGGTATGTAGTGGGTAAGGGTATATAGGACATAACGGTACATGGGGGATAACTGTATGTAGTGGGTATGGGTACATAGGACATAAAGGTACGTGGGGGGTAACGGTATGTAGTGGGTAAGGCGACACAGGACATAACGGTACATGGGGGATAACGGTATGTAGTGGGTAAGGGTATATAGGACATAACGGTATATGGGGGATAACTGTATGTAGTGGGTAAGGGTACATAGGACATAACGGTACATGGGGATAACGGTATGTAGTGGGTAAGGGTATATAGGACATAACGGTATATGGGGGATAACTGTTTGTAGTGGGTAAGGGTACATAGGACATAACGGTACATGGGGGATAACTGTATGTAGTGGGTAAGGGTACATAAGACATAACGGTACATGGTGGGTAACGGTATGTAGTTGGTAAGGGTACATAGGACATAATGGTACATGGTGGATAACGGTATGTAGTGGGTAAGGGTACACAGGACATTATGGTACATGGTGGATAATGGTATATATAGTCGGTAAGGGTACACAGGACATAACGGTACGTGGACATAACTGTATATAGTGGGTATGGGTACATAGGACATAAAGGTACGTGGGGGGTAACGGTATGTAGTGGGTAAGGCGACACAGGACATAACGGTACATGGGGGATAACGGTATGTAGTGGGTAAGGGTATATAGGACATAACGGTATATGGGGGATAACTGTATGTAGTGGGTAAGGGTACATAGGACATAACGGTACATGGGGATAACGGTATGTAGTGGGTAAGGGTATATAGGACATAACGGTATATGGGGGATAACTGTTTGTAGTGGGTAAGGGTACATAGGACATAACGGTACATGGGGGATAACTGTATGTAGTGGGTAAGGGTACATAAGACATAACGGTACATGGTGGGTAACGGTATGTAGTGGGTAAGGGTACATAGGACATAATGGTACATGGTGGATAACGGTATGTAGTGGGTAAGGGTACATAGGACATTATGGTACATGGTGGATAACGGTATGTAGTGGGTAAGGGTACATAGGGGATAACGGTACATAGTGGATAACGGTATGTAGTGGGTAAGGGTACATAGGACATAACGGTACATAGAGGATAACTGTATGTAATGGGTAAGGGTACATAGGGGATAACGGTACATACCCACTAGTGGGTTAGGGGACAAAGGAGATAACGGTACATAATGCACCTAATCCATGTCCTTGGTCGAATTTGCACCACGTTTTTCACCATCGAAAGTCACACTTACCCATTATGACGACACCATGCTAACTTGGTGAGCAGTAGATAAGGCTTCAAGTGACGTCACAACGACCGCGAGTGCAGTAGACCACACCTACAGCACGTTATTGCGTGCTGCCTGGGCCCCACGCAGGTATCACGACAGGACGTGTGGGAGGGATTGATAATGTGTTTCTTATGTGTAATAGGCGTACAGAAGCACGTATTGTGTCACAATCATCCGTTCATCAACTCACGTTAAAGATATAATGTCGATGGTCTATCATAGTTAAAACTTGCATATTGTTTTGTTGACAAAAGTGCTAGGCCCTAGAGTGAGTGGGTTAAGATTTACTCCGGTTTTAGCAATATTCCAGCAATATCACGGCGGGGGACACCAGAAATGGGCTTCACACACTGCGCCCATGTGGGGAATCGAACCCGGGTCTTCGGCGTGACGAGCAAACGCTTTAACCACCGCCCCGCTTGGCTCTAAATACTGTATCCATGAGTGATCAGATCTATCATAGTCGGGGTGTTGACGTACGTTTCCCATCCATTGTTCCAACTGTTTTCTTATGGTTGATCTTTTTTCGTCGAAGGTTGAATTTCGACGAGAGGGAAGAAAAGGTTACATCATTCTGGACAACCAACCCTACTTCAAAAGCTACCCAGTTACCTGCAAACTGACGTCATTTGTTTTCGGCGGTCTTGAACCGGTCGACGCTGCCACCGTCCTGCCTCTGTTGGTGAGTATGTCTTGCTCACAGATTGTCACGTGTGTATCGATGCTTGTCGTAACAGACGTTTAATGGAGATGAGGTATTCGAGGAGTTGTTTGATGCCGAGTCACCGTCCCGACGGACGTGGTCACTGGTTCCACTGTGAAGGATGGGGATGTGATCCACCCTGTTAAAGCAATGGATCGTCAAGCCGTAGAACCTGATTTTCTCTCCATCAGGGCACAATATTGGTGTCAACGTCAAATAAACGGCGTTAAACCTTCATTATTGTAAAATATAAAATAATACAAAGCCACCTGTTTTAGAAGTTACACATTGTATTTCAAATTTTATTTTATTTCAGCGAACGAGCACACATTTCGATGGCTGTATTCGGAATTTGAGTCTGAACATCGACCATGGTCTCGCTCCCCGGTACTACGCCGTGTCCATCTGCAGCTAAGATCTTGTCCAGTCAAAGTGGAACTTAAACGTAGAAGCCACGATTGTTTGTCACGTTGGCTGTTTTGGCGCCAATGCAAAAGCAGTCTGATCTGTTAGATTTTTGACGTCATCAGATTTTACTGACCAACCCGGGCAGGCGAGACCCGACAAGGGAGCGTGGTGAGTTTCCGACCTCTGACAACGCTTACCTGTTACAGCGCCACCCTGTTACAACCCCGTGTGCTTGACCACCTGTGTTCAGCTCGACCTTGACCTTGTGCACACCATCGGCTACATCAGCAGCATTGACCTGGGCCTTCGTTACAACATCGTCACAATGGCTATTCCATTATTCAACTTCAACCACTGCCGTCCATTACATTATAAACTTCACCCTTGACCTTGACCTTACATTACTGAAGGTCGCCTTGACCTTACATTACTGAAGGTCTTACATCCAGTCCCAGGCTACAGAGACATGATATGGCTCATGTCAAGCCTTTCGCAGAGCTCACATGTCTAAGACGTTTTCATTTGGGTTGTTTGTTGGGTTAGTTGGTTTTTTTAAATTTTGGAAGTAGATCATGATGTACTTTTTGTTTTGTCATTCAACCTTCCGCTTCCACTTCAATGACACTTGGACGTTATGGATGTTAATTTCTATTGTTGTATTAGCTGTTACCGCGGAGTCGGCGTCTTACCATGTGCCATCACATCAAGTAGTTCGCCAAGTCCAAGTAGTTCATGTCGCATTTCAAAGTTTGCTGTAGTAACTGTGTCCGTTACATCTAATGCGATATTGTTGTAGTTATTCATTTGAAGCTTGCCACACATTTCTGTTAATGCATTTGACATTAGTTTCATTGGCGAAACCATTTGGGAAATTTAACGTACAAAGTAAATAGTAATGTTCTGCGGAGATGAATGCGAGACTCCGGACCGTTGTAAGGTCGTTGCTATGGTCTACTTTAAATATAGACATACAGCCTGCTTGGCACTGATTCAGTCATTAACTTTACATTTAAGTATATATTACATATTGTTATTTATTTATCTGTGATACAGTGTCGTCGTCAGTGTCTCCGCTGTGCATGTCAATACTGCGTACTCTAGTTGTCTGTTCGGTAGCATAGGTTGTTAGCTTTCCTTGTTATTTTGTAAAATATTTACAATATTGCTAATAAATTTATTACAAATAATACATCATATGTTCATTTCATATCATTTGTGGTAAGTTGATCGCATCCCAGTTCTAACCACCGGCCCTCGTGTCTTTGCGATGAAATTGAGATGACCCCCGACTCGAAATGCTTCACAGTATAAGAAGACTTTAGTCACGATTTATTGTACTATGAAGCATTTCGAGTGAGGGGGTCATCTCAATTTATTTTATTTTAAAATTTTTTGTTATCTTTAATCCTCGCAAAGACGCGAGGGCATGTGGTCCTAACCTCTAGTAACTGAAGGTAGGCTAGTGATTAATCATTACCAGTCAATAGGAAGACCCGGGTTCAATTCCCGAGACGGGTCTGACACACAAGCCCTTTCTTGGTTTTCCCCGTGATGTCTGTTGCTGTCAACCACTTCAGTGAGGTAGTAGTATACCTGTCACAAAGAAGGTAGAGATTTGGAATATAGACCGAGTTTACCTTACAATCAAACATCTGCTTCCGTTTCACTGCGCCATCCCAGCCGGCGTGGTTTGCTGGTTGTTCAACACCGGTTTTTCACAGTATATCCTATTTGTGCGTCTACACAATGGGTGCAGTGGGTGGGGTATTGATAATGATTCCACAGAGCGTCACCCCATCGTCATTATAAAGAGCTGATATAACAATATATGGAGGATGTAATACTCCAGCGATAAAAGGAAAATCCCCGGCCACTGGGTAAGACTCACCATTTGTTCCACAAGAGATATTAAAGCCTGGCTGATGTCGGATATAATCATTTACCCCCTAATAAAAGATCATATTAAAATGTCAAGTCCCAGGTAATTGGGCACAGTGGGAGTATAGTCTGTTCCCCTCCTACTGTAGAGACAGGTCTTGCACGTAGGAAGACGGCCGCCATAATAGTAGTAGGCCTGAAGCTCCAACTGAGGATAATGGCAGATTTTCCTTGTTGTGTCAGTATAATAGCGAGAAAACTAGGTCAGGAAATGTAGATTTCCGTTGGTCTCTTTACTACAAGTTGTTCCATTAAAGGAATAGGGTATTACAACCATCCACGCTGCGGCGTCGTCACCTGGCTTTAACGCCAGTTTGAAACGTATGCAAGTCACATGACCACGTGTAGGCTTGAATATACTTTACAGGCTGTTCTGTTGGACTGGCATTTCAGAAGCTGGCAAGTAACAATAAGGACAAGATGTTACTCTGTTTTGACGGGACGTTGTCCATAACTCGTCATGCTTGACAACGGTATGAAGATCTATACCAAAATGGTAAAATAGAAATAGTTATTCCTAAAATAGAAATAGTCATTCCTAACATAAAAACAGTAATTCCTAAAATAGAAATAGTCATTTATTAAGTGCCTGTGTTGTCACACAGACTGTTGCCTCTTGCCTCAACACTCTTGAGTGGCAATTTGTTTCCCAACAAATATTCCAGCAATATCACGGTAGGGAACACCAGAAATGGCTTCAAACAATGTACATCGAACCCGAGCCTTTGGCGTGACGAGTGAACCCTTTAACCACTGGGCTACCCCACCGCCCCGGATATGAGTGCCATCTGCTTTATCAGTGAGTGAGTGAGTTGGGTTTGACGCCGCTCTTAACAGTATTCTAGTTTCATCACGTAGTGTCAGCCTAATAAGGGAGGAAGGCACAAGCACATCCATGTGTATGGGGCCGACAAACAAGCACATCCATGTGTATGGTGCCGTCAAACAAGCACATCCAATGGTGCAGACAAACAAGCACATCCATGTGTATGGTGCCGACAAACAAGCACATCCATGTGTATGGTGCCGACAAACAAGCACATCCATGTGTATGGGGCCGACAAACAAGCACATCCATGTGTATGGGGCCGACAAACAAGCACATCCATGTGTGTGGGGCCGACAAACAATCACATCCATGTGTATGGTGCCGACAAACAAGCACATCCATGCGTGTGGTACCGACAAACAAGCACATCCATGTGTATGGTGCCGACAAACAAGCACATCCATGTGTGTGGTGCCGACAAACAAGCACATCCATCCATGTGTGTACAAACAAGCACGTGTACACAAACAAGCACATCCATGTGTGTGGTGCCGACAAACAAGCACATCCATGTGTGTGGGGCCGACAAACAAGCACATCCATGTGTGTGGGGCCGACAAACAAGCACATCCATGTGCGACAAACAAGCATCCATGTGCCGACAAACAAGCACATCCATGTGTATGGGGCCGACAAACAAGCACATCCATGTGTATGGGGCCGACAAACAAGCACATCCATGTGTATGGGGCCGACAAACAAGCACATCCATGTGTATGGGGCCGACAAACAAGCACATCCATGTGTATGGGGCTGACAAACAAGCACATCCATGTGTGTGGGGCTGACAAACAAGCACATCCATGTGTGTGGTGCCGACAAACAAGCACATCCATGTGTGTGTGGCCGACAAACAAGCACATCCATGTGTATGGTGCCGACAAACAAGCACCAACTTCAAAATGTTACCATCCCAAAATGGATTTAACCAGACGAGACAATCCAAAGAAAATAGCTCACTTTTTAGTTACAATGAATTATTTAATGAACCTGAGACATGTATTTACGGTCTAACTGTCTATTCACGATAGCCATTTTCTCAGATGTATGGAACATGTTATCTAATATTTTACTAGACAATCGGGCTGGCGAGCTAAAAATTTAGACCTTCCATCAGAAATGTGTAGCCCGTCTCGGGCTGTCGGACGGGCCTTATTTCATTCACTGCCATTGTGCGTGACAGAGGTATTAACAGCACTTCTTCTGTGGTAAGAAATGAAAAGACTGAAATCTACGTCAGTCCTTTATTTACACGGGTATAATGCGATAATAACCCTCTCAACCCTCATATCAGTACATATTAGCCTAGGTACATAAACATATGGCTTCATAGCAAGTTGTGCTTTGCTTAGACTAACAGATAGTCTCTGAAATGAAAACCGTTCTTAAATTATAATCATAAAATATAAAATAAATAGGAGCCCAGAGACTTTCTTCATTTTCTGAAACTTGCCACATTCTCTGGACTTGCAAGGGCTTTCTTGGATATGTTTGTTTCAGGGTCTGTATGACAGACTATACTTTGCCGGGTTCAGCGTTTTACGGTTCCTTCGGATCTTCAGATTGGGTGTACTTGATCTGCTTTTCACGAAGGTGGCATTTTGTGTATTTTGTAAGGGTCGGTAGTCATTTCAAAGCAAAATGATACTAGCCAAGTGAGAAAAGAAACGTATAGTGCATTTGGCTCAAAAACGGACCGATGAATTGCAATTTAACTCGAAAACTAATAAATATATAATACTCAATGAAAGGCTGATCATAATCAAAACATCAGACCAACTCTGTGATTTGTGTGCAGAATTTATGTCCTAAAATTTAAAAAGTTGTTTAACAAACTATCATTAAAATATTGACACAGTTCGCTATTTTGCACGAGGGAGGAGTGCAGAGAAAGGGACAGCAAGGATGGAGACGGCACAGCACAGGTTAACTTTGTCGGCACTTTTGCATGTGCTTTTCTAACACCTGTCTGTCCCTTTCTTCTTCATACTCCCCTCGTAAAAAATCGTAATGAACAATATAAAATGATAGTTTGTTGAACAACTTTTTAAATTTTAGGACATAAATTCTGCAAACAAATCACGCTATTTTTGATGCAGCGTTTCATTGAGGGATGTTTATTAGTTTTCAGAGAAATTCATCGGTCCGCTTTTGAGCCAAGCGGACCAGGTGTCCCTTCAGTAAAAGTTTAGGCCCTGTTTCATCATGCTCACAAGGTGCATAGATTCAAGGAGGGAGAGGGAGAGAGAGAGAGAGAGAGAGAGAGAGAGAGAGAGAGAGAGAGAGAGAGAGAGAGAGAGAGAGAGAGAGAGAGAGAGAGAGAGAGAGAGAGAGAGAGAGAGAGAGAGAGAGATTTGCAAGGGGAACATAACACACAACTAACATAGAATATAATGTTTCATCTTTTAATCAATATACACATATCATAAATCAGTGTATAGTTAGCACAGATTATACACCAGGGCCTGCTTTCACAAAGCACTAAGGTGATCGTAAGTCACTAAGGTAACCTTAGTGCAATCTTAAAGAATAGGAGTTAAGGTTAACCTTAGTAAAGGTAGCTTCGTGAAAGTAGCCCCAGATTAACAAACAGGGAAAATCACTGTATATTCCATATAGATAACACAACATTGTATATAAAGACAACACAGTCGATCACCACAAACCAGAGTGGCAGGGAACAGTCTATACAAAACTAGCACCAATAATTCAAACTTTCATAAACAATTAGTGAGCAATCAACAAAAACAACAAGTACCTCCACAGGTAGCCCATCATTGTATTAAATGAGATGGAAATATGCTGGGTCTATGAACATGGGGGATATCTACAGCTACGCCTCACTGCTCAGCCATGGTAAAAGCTGTGCTGCATCTAGTCTAGACTTGAAGTATATGCCCTATTGAGGCAAATTTAACATCATGTCATGTTCAAGATTATGTCCTTTGTAAAGGTATATCAGATAGAGTACACAGACACAATTCTGACCAGGCATTGTGTTATCACCCTTATGGGTAGAGTGAGTGAGTGAGTTTAGTTTTATGCTGCTTTTAGCAATATTCCAGCAATATCATGGCGGGGGACACCAGAAATGGACTTCATACATTGTACCCATGTGGGGAATCAAAGTCGGGTCTGCCATGTGATGAGTGAAGTCTTTAACCACTAGGCTACCCCACCGCCCCTTTATGGGGAGAGCCAGGAAGCGGAACAATGCAAGCATCTTCTAATCTGTTTGGAAGTAAGTAGGCCAGGGGACCGAGCCGCTGACCATCCTCTCTCTACAATACTACAGAGGCGGGCCTGAATACCCCAGTGTTCACGAATGGTGTTTCAAAGTAACAGGACATTGGGTCCCATAAGTTTCAGATGTCTGTCTGACCCACTGAAAATTCACATTCCAGAGAATAAAAATTAAACACACATTTAAGATTTAACATTTCTTATTTTTGTCTTTGAAATTATTAATAAACGTAAAATTTAAACAGCAAACAAGTGTCACATGTCACATACAACAACCTCAGTCAAAGTCATCGTGAAATATAGTCAGTCACTGGGACTGGTGGGTTGTAGACTTCCATCGGACCGTGGGGAATCTGCCGGATTTGTCGGAGGGTCCGACACTAATCGTGATACCCCCGAGGACATTAAAGGTAACCCTTACATCAAGCCTGGCATATGCGCCACCTGTATACAGGAGGTTGCAAACCTGTCTACAATATTGACCTTTTTGTGTGTTTGTTGATAACGTAGCACTCAACTATTTTCCAGCTATACAAAGGCAGCCAATAACTGATTAAGCCCTGACAGGCAAACAAATGCTTGATATCATGAACCGCGATCCCTGCCACCAGGGCATGATGACACGCAATCACCCAAGTCACAGACAACTCCATCCCTTAAGCTGCCTCTCACAACCTGCATAGGGGTACCAACACTTGACAGGACTAATTTAAAAGGAGGGTATAAAAGAACTCTTCTTGTGATCACAGGAAACTTCCAGAGGTAAAATATGGTGCTGCTATGTGAGGTCAAGGGAGTATTGAGGGGAAACTTCAGTTAACAAAATATGCCTGTATTCAGTTCCTTTAACATACAGCTGCTCATGAAAACTGGAAAACTTTATACATGTATATATATATGCAGCAGAAAACATGTACCTGCTCAGTTAGACCTTGTAAGATCCTTACTGCTTTCAGTTTACCTGAGTGACATTGAGAATATTAACAATAGTACCCATTTTTACACTGACATTAGTATTGGATGTTTATAGATAGTGGTGTAAATATAATGGAAACAAATGTAAGACTAACAGTGATGAGCATTTCAAAACTACAAAGAATAAATTCAAATACCTTCTACATACATTAATACACATTTTTCTATAAAATAAAAGCAGTCAGGGCATGGCACTTTATAAATCATTTCAAACAGTAGCATACAACTGGCAAAAGTTAAACACATAAGGACATGTATTCCCAGCTCATAAGTCACAGCGTTTATCGCATAGAGGACTGGTGATGAGTAATGCTGAGAACATTCATATCTATGTAGTTAGGATATTTTGTGTGAGTCATATAATCAACAGTGAATCATGCCTCACACATCTGCATTGAAGACATTCATACAGCTGAATTATCACTACAGCAAAAAATATAGTACATGAATATGTGATATTAATTCTCACGGCCACCCTAATCTTATAGTCACAGTGAAAAAGTTCTTTATTGATTCTGAAAATACTGATCTGAGTGCATGACTGCATTTCTATCAATACTTACCTGCTCAGGTGAGAATGTTTTGGTATACCGACATTTACAAACTGAAGAGAAGTCAGGGTACACATTCCTATTTTCAAAAGCTCAATTTGAAGTCACCTGAAAGTATTCACACTTCATGACATCAGCACAACTCTTATACAAATTTTAACTATGATTTCATGTTACAATATTTGAATTATCACACAGAAATATTTAATTAAATGAGAATACTTGAAAGGAGTGACTGCATGGTGGTACTACAGCAATTAGATAAATCTCATCAAGTTATCTCCTGAAACCTCCATTGTGCAAGGTATACAATGATTCTGATAAATGAATGGTTCACTTGCAGGCAGTTATGTAGATCGTGTTAGTGGAGACAGAATTAACAACAGCATCTGCAAAATGTATGTGATCTCAGTGCCATGCTTCTGTAATGATCAGTATCACACAAGCAGTTTTCAAACACATCATAAATAATGGGGATTTGGTCTTTTATTAATTCATACATATTCCTCCTCAACTTAGCTATGAAATCATGGTTTTTAAAACAATCTCTTTTTCTTTCCTCTGTGTCAGTTAACAAATATTAGAAATGAAAAACACTTTGAAGTACAAAAATACTTTGATATTTCACGTTTGGTTCACTGTATGTATTAAATGCCATGAAAATCACGGGGAGTTTACTGATCTTATTTCTATCAACCACACTTCGTACAGTTAAGCCTGAAATCTTATAAGATAAGAGCCCAAGCACGATGAAAGGGGCAAAAGATTTCTGACATTCAAATGATAAATCTGGAAGTCTTTTAACATGATGCAATAATATTCTATGCATCCAAGTGAGAGATCCTGAAGTTGTTGAAAAAGAATGGATTACATTTAACACTTCCATGTTAGTGCACTCAGTGGTAGGACATAACAAGGTACCATTAACTATAGTCACAAGTAAACTCATATTCCTAGAACATAACAAGGCACCATTAACTATAATAACAAGTACACTCATATTCCTAGAACATAACAAGGCACCATTAACTATAGTCACAAGTAAACTCATATTCCTAGAAACAATTACCAGCCATAACATCAGCACATCTCTGCAGTCATATATACTTTACAGTCTCATCAGTTTTTGGTTTGGCCTGCTTCATTTTGTTCCAGTCCCGAGGTATTTTCCTTTCTGTGTTTGCACATTTGAATGTAAACCACCCAGATGATCATCAGTGCTGATATTGACATATTTCCTTCTCAACATGCTCTCCATCTGTCTGTTAATGGTTTTAATTTGTACCAAACCAACCTCCACAATTCATCCTACCAGCAGAAATGTTTGGTTGTAACAATATTTTCGGAGATCACTGTGTCTGTATGTTATCATGAGTACACAGGAAAGTATTCCTGATAATGACACACTGCATAATGACACACTGCATAATGACACACTGCATAATGACACACTGCTTTACATCCTCATGATAACATTGGGATGCAAACCCATAACCTAAACATGTACCTGTATAATATGATACTGACCACCAAGTCCTGATTCCTGGAGATCACATGCTATGACACGTTTCGTGTAACCAACAAGCTAGATGTCACACAAAAATCACTGGTCCCATAGAAAATGTGTAAGACAGAAAAGTATGAGCATTAAAACAACTGTGGCACAATATCCATGTCTTCGCACGCATACTCTTATCAAACAATGTTGTCTCTTTTATTTGTAAACAAAGTCACCTTGATATTTAGCACAGTCTATTTTCACAACCTTGACATCAGTTTCCTAAATTATGTCTACCTTTATCTGTGTTACTTAGCAGCATACTTGTCTAGCAGGTCAACATACTTGTCTAGTGGACCAACATACTTGTCTAGTGGACAAATACACTTGTCTAGCAGACCAACATACTTGTCTAGTGGACAAATACACTTGTCTAGCAGACCAACATACTTGTCTAGTGGACAAATACACTTGTCTAGCAGACCAACATACTTGTCTAGTGGACAAATATACCTGTCTAGCAGACCAACATATGTGTCTAGTCGACAAATATACCTGTCTAGTAGAACAATACACTTGTCTAGCAGACCAACATATGTGTCTAGTCGACTAATATGCCTGTCTAGTGGACAAATATACTTGTCTAGCAGGCCAAAATTACTTATCTAGTAGACAAATATACTTGTCTAGCAGACCAACATACTTGTCCAGGTGACAAATATACTTGTCTAGTAGAACAATACACTTGTCTAGCAGACCAACATACTTGTCTAGTGGACAAATATACTTGTCTAGTAGAACAATACACTTGTCTAGCAGACCAACATACTTGTCTATTCGACAAATATACCTGTCTAGTGGACAAATATACTTGTCTAGCAGGCCAAAATTACTTAACTAGTAGACAAACATACTTATCTAGTAGACAAAAATACTTGTCTAGTAGACCAACATACAAGTGAAATCCCGAACTCATGTAAAAAGGCGGCAAATAAAATATTTATCAACTTGATTATATATAAGCACATGACATGTAATCCTAGTAGAGTATACCTGTATATGTGCGTGGTATCATCCCGTATCTTCCCATACCCATGCCACAGAGGTAGATTAACTGGGGGGCATGTCTACGAGCTGAAGGTAGGCCAAGCCCTTAGTCTCAGAACACTATATCTCTCACAGTGTTAATATCTCAATACTGGTGATAAAATGCTTCAGAATAACTCGTTTGTGTGTTGAATATTTGAGATGAAATCCTTCACAATATCTCTGCTGTGTGTTTAATACCTGAGTGGAACTGTGATATATATGCTTCATCCTGCAGTTAACTGGGGAGTATTCAATTCAAGGGTTTTCTGTCCTGTGTTTCTCAAAAGCCAAAAGAAAAGCAGCTACACTGAAAGAACATAAAGCAGCAAATACTGTACATCATGAAATTAATGCGTCACAAATTTAATGCAAGTGCGAGGGTCTAGTCTAAAATGCGTCACTAAATTAATGCGAGCTCTGGAATCTGTGACACCCTGAATCTTTGGTGGGTTTTTTTTTCTTTTCACACTTGTTATTTACCAAATAACCTCAATTGAGCTTGTTAAGCAATAAATGGAAATGAGCTGACGATGTTTTGATTACGCTGCCATGTTTGATCATGTGATTGCTTGCTACTACTTGTCTTATGACAACATGTATAAACGTAATCCGACGTGAAAGAAACAAGTCATCTACCAAGGTACAACAAACAAGTGGCTGGAGAATGTCTGGCCTGGCTGATGTGCTTGAGTGACTATAAAAAATGACCAGTGATTGTAACCAGTGATAATTACATGTGGCTTGACATACCTGTAATGAGGAAGTGACCTGTATCGGTGTAATGTGTAGTGTCAACAGATGTACGTTTTCTGTCTTTTATCAAGTAGACATGGTCAGACTGAAATGCGTCATTATAATAATGCGAGAAGAGTACAGACGCATTGTTCGCATTAATGGAATGCTCGCATGAATTTCATGATTTACAGTACACAGAACCAACATACATCATGAGCAACGTGACAAGCATTTGAGAAAACAAATTACCTACAGAAAAAAATATCAGCACAACTGCTTCTCCTGCAAACACAAGGTTTTTGAGTATAATTACTTCCCAGTACATCGAGTTAAGTGTCAGGGATTTTAACAGCAATACATTTCTGGAAACATGTATGTAGGTCTTCCTGTACAGGAGTTGCCTACATTAACTCAGTAAGTAAGGATGTGCAATCATTAAATAATAATAATATGGATTCTTATATTGCGCTGAACTCCGCACCAAAGTATGTTCAAAGCGCTAACAGAGTTCCACAGTTCATTATTACCGCGGATAACCCAAGCTGCCTGTGAGGTGCTAGAAAGTTATAGTCACATGACTTATTCTACCGGGTACCTATTTTCTGCTGGGTGAACAGAGGCAATTTTGAACAAACTCACTTGCCTAAGGTGAGACCACATGTATCACATGTGCTTTGTTGTGGGGCAGGACTGAACAACAACTGAAAAGGCTACACTGGATAATAATGTATAGTACGTCAAGTGTTGTAAAACCAAGGAGTGCTTAACCTCTACATATCTATTTGTATACTCAAGTATGACAAACTATGCAGCTTATCAGGATCTCTGGGCTGGTGAAACAACCACTTCCATAGTTACCAGCAGATACATCAGTCTGGAGCCACTGATAACAGGTAGACAATGTCTATATTCATATACTGAAGTATTTACTAACACCAGTAAATTCCAACTGCAAACATATCCTATAAATATATAAATCGTTCTCATCACCTGTGTAATCTGGTCAGATACAAGTGAACGGTTTTAGGTACATCATCACAAAACATCCAACATGCAACGTCATTGTCACCCAATGGCTGAACTACAAACATTTCCAGCTGAAAGATACTGGATACATCTTGAGTATACATGTGCATAGCAAGTCCTCTGACAACCTGTATATAGTAACATCAAATGTATGATGCAATATCATGTGAAACAATTACTTATTGTACAGCTGAATATTCTTTGTAATCAAGCCTTAAAACAAGACCTTGCCAGGGTTGAGAATACCCTTGGGGTCAAAGGTTGCCTTCAGTTGCTGCATGACCCCGAGAGTTGTATCACCAAGCTCCTCCTGAAGCAGCGCCCTCTTGCCAATGCCAATACCATGTTCCCCTGTGCAAGTCCCATCCAGGGACATACCAAGTCTGTAAACATGAACAAAGGGAGGTAACTGCCTTTACTTTTCTAACAGCTGGAGCCCAAGGTCGCCCTAAAACCTTATCTACCTACCTACCTACCTACCTAACAGCTGGAACAGGCTAACACACTCCATACAATCTGTCACCATGGCAACACAGGCCAACATGCTTTGAAAATGTCTGTGTCAATATGGCAACACATGACAAAGTTTAACATACAATCTGTGTAACCATGGTAATAAAGACCAACATGCTTTGTACAGTCTGTGTCAATATAGCCACCCAGGACAAAATATAATATACAATCTGTGTCACCATGGCAACACACAACAACACGCTACAAACCAGGTAAAGCATGCAAAGGGAGGATATTGCAGTTGATGAACATTCTCAGGGTGGAACATGGAACAGAACTGGTTAGCCTTAAGTAAAGTTAGTTCACCATCAAGGAGAGTTAGAGCAGAGGAATGAAATCATCTCAGTGATAATGAAATCATCTCAGTGATAATGAACACCTTCAAGCACATTGGGGTTAACAAGTATGATGTCCCAAGTTAAAGTCTAATGTTTACCAGGATCACTTCAGGATCAGTTCAGGAAGAGTGTCTGATGATGAAGAAAGCCAATTTGCTAATTCACTGATGGAATCACAACAATATGATTTCCGAATTAATTAGTTTCCTTGGCACCATCCATGTTCTGTTTGATTTATGGTAAACATTAACACATGTATGACCTCAAGCTTTCCTCCCTGGCGAGGCCGGCATGGCATATCAAGGTAGTAATACTGAACGCTACATTACACCCCCCACACTCCCTACTTGTCTCTCTCACACTTAATATGTTTCCAAAATACCCCAAAACAAAGTATTTCTAACACTAGCACTGCTGAGAAATAGTAGAGATCTAAGAATAAACCATTTACAGACAAAGGGAACAAATTAATAAAGATTTCTAGTCTCTCACTAAATGACAACATCATACATTTCAAAATACTGTTTTCTTGCTTTAGCACATTTTATTTAGGACAAGTTATCATAATGTTTCAGTTTGACCTTGATACTTTGTGTTTGATCAGTTCATCTGTGGAGACAAAGCATGCACTTTGACAGGCACAGAAAGGGAAGATGGTGTGATTGTTCTACTTCCGTCCTTAGTTAGAAGCAAGGGAAATATGAAATGGTCAACAAGCCGCCATGTTAGAGTTAACAATTAGGTTTGTAAAGCCAGCAGCATGGACTTGTAAACTTACAGAGCTATTTTCTTTGCTAGCTCCATGGCTTGCTGCTTCTCCTCAATGCTGGTTTCAAGGGGAAGTAATGCACAGTGAAAATTGCCATCACCAGCATGACTGACTATTGGCGCTGAAAAGAAAATCACACATAACAGATTACTACTCACTCAGCCATTTTAACAGCAATGTCCTTGACCTTCTGAACTTCTTCAGCATTACTGCGGTCAACTGGGAAGAACACGTGGAAATTGCCATCTCCAACATGCCCAACTATTGGGCCTGAAACAAAATGTGTCTCTAGTTCAAATCCCACCTGTCTGACATTAGTTTTCAGGTCAAGCACAAAATTAAATATTAACAGATAATGCATATTTATGTTTGCCTAACCAATCCATCTTTGATGAATAACAAGAAAGAAAAATCTTTGATAATCACATAAAATTCGAGTAACTTGTATTGTATGCAGTCTCTGCAAACCTCTCATGAAGAGAACCGAACCTCCTTAGAAGTAAATACATACAGCAAAACTCTTCAACGTCTTTAACCTTAGGTATGACATTAGTTTACATTTTCCCATTGACTGACCCTAACATCATGCAAAATGAAATAAAGCACTTAGTGACATAAATATACTCTACCATCCAATCTGGGTACAAATCCCTGATTCACCTGGGTCATATTTCTTGGCTAGTCAGCATATGAGAGTGCTTGTGGATTCTACCAAAAGGTAACCATATAAGACCTGCATCGCTTCAGGCTTTCCTCCCCCATTAAGTCTACATACCGTGACATGAATGAATAGTGCACACTTAGCTCGCTCGCTCACTCATAACACAAATATCATCTATCACTGCTACAACTAAACCAACCTTCTGCTGTTGGACAGGGCAAACATTGATGCGGAGATAATATAGATAATTGTTCCCTAATGTGATTTCCACTTGTCAAGTCATGGCTAAGGAAAGTTGACTTACTTAAAGGAGGAATGTTCGGGAATAAATGTGAGTAATACTACATTACCAGCCTACCTATAACTCCCGCCTCCTTGATGAAATCCTTCGACCTGATTATGACTTCAGGCAGTTTGGAGATGGGCACACAAACATCAGTAGAATAGGGCTGTGATACAAAGACAAGTGATATAGATGTCAGCTGTCACAGATTTACAAGATATCTGGGTGCCAGTCCACTAAATGTTTGTAGCCTTACAAGCTGTCGTAACTAAATAGTATATCATAGGGTTACAAATGTGCTACGAAGACTTCATGAATCAGGACCCTGCATCTCAACTTGACTAGTTTGCTGATACAGATGAACAAAAATTATTCACAAACAAAGCAATGATCTCTCATTAAAAGTTGCTCTGAAGGATGTCCCTCTTAAGCTGAATGGTGTATAGTCAACAGTGCATATTGTGTAGAAAATTATCCCAAGGTACTTCCCAGAAACAGCAGATACATTGTTTTATCATGAACCATAAATATAATTACAACAGTACAGTGTCAGTCTGGCACATCAGTTATATAGTATATGTGCTGCTCACGTGTATTAAACCATATTTTTTACAATGGCTGTATATTGCAAAGATCTAGTAATCACTACATTCTTTCCCAGAAGCTGAGGGTATAATTATTCATTCAGTTTATTGATCACACCTTGGATCCTGGCTTCAGAGCCATACATGCATAGATGATGTCATGCCTGGCCCTCCATAGTCTGTTTCTCTCTTCAGCATCCTTGGCCCAGCGGAAGTCAGAACCGCCATTCATCTGACATAGTTCCTCTGTAAAGAAAACTTGCCTTGCAGTCAAGGGCATCTTAGCCATATTCCAGCCCCTGTTTCCATGTGCTTCATTTGGGCCAGTCACAGAGGAACAAGGACACACTTGACATTACTATTCTAACTTCCCAACAAAGTTTGAGCTTGCTATCAGCACATGATCCCCTGCATGTATCGTTACTTCCCCACCTTTCATCTTCCATCAACATAGGGTTCCCCTGAGGATTATACTCAGAACTATATCTGTTACAAATGCCAGAACTGGCATGAAATCTTCCCAACTCATGTACGTAAAAGAAAACATGATAAAGAGGCTTTTATGCTTTTTTATACATTATTGCCTAGAATCCAAAGTTGAGTATACACTGATAAATTAATGTTAAATGTAATAAAGTAAGAAATCCCAATGATGAGGGAGACAGTGATTTTTTCCAATATGCCTGCCAAGCGAAGTTCTTTTGAGTCCCTGACAAATCCCTGCTGACCTGAAACAAACCGTCAGATGTCGACAGGAGGACAAGCAACTCACCCACAGTACTGACTTGGTCGTCAAGGCCGTTGGCAGGCCCGTGGAACTCAAGGAAGAGAGAGGGTGCCACTTTCATGTCAAACTTGCTGTACTTGTTGAAGGCATCAATAGTCACTTCATCCAAGAATTCTGTGATGAGAAAAGAACAATTTGAGCATTGCACCATGTTCACATCTTCAACCATTGGGGAAACATACAGTCGAGCACCGTTGTGTCGAACTCTGATAACTCGATATCTCGGTTGTCTCGATATAACATCTCAGTCCTGGCAAAATCCTTCATAATTTATCATTATTCAAGCTCTTTTAACTCAATACGGATTTCTCGATATTTCGGATATCTCGATATAATTACATGGCCCAACAAGCAAAATTACCCTTTTAACTCGATATTTGCAGAGAAACTTGATATTCATCTACCTTTCATGGGCAAGTATGAACCTCCCACTGAGGTTGTTTCCACACGTTTACACACGGTGTGGCATGAATCGTACTGTAAACTAATTAGGGCTAATTGAGTTGAAGATGTCACTTGCTTGTTATCTAATTAGGATTAGTGAAGAAGGAATTAATTAGGAAGTACTCACTGTTACGACTAAACACAGTGATATGTGATGATATGCTCTGGTCTGACGTCTCGAAGTTCGGGTAACTCGATATTTTTTCTTGGTCCCATGAATATCGAGACAACGGTGCTCGACTGTATTTGTCTACAGGTATTATCACACATTCTCTAGTATTACATGGCACTATACAGCCTTACCTATCCTGGCCATGGGGATTCCACACTGCAGGACGTTGACTGTTGTGTCCACTGCCCCTTGGACTGTCTCAAAGTGGACGACAGCTGACACAGTCTGATGGGAAAATAGAGCCAATAAGCAACTCTAGAATCTTTCACAAATATAAGTCATTGTCAAAGCCTATCGGTAGTTTAATAAGTTCAAAGTAAAGCATATATTACAGTAAAGTCTGTCAAAATAGGTACCAGTCAAAATACAATGTACTCTTTTTGTCCTATCATCTTCAAATTTCAGAAAATTAAGTACCATAAGGTGCCACAATTTTAATGATTTATCATCCACAGTAAACATTTTCATTTCTAAAGCACAGTGACTGCAAGAAAGCTATGTCCCGTACATACTGCTTCAGGTATGCCATAGAGACGTAGTGTGGCCTTTGTAATGATGCCCAAGGTGCCCTCAGAGCCCACAAACAAGTTTGTCAGGTTGTACCCTGCAGACGTCTTCCTGCAGTATCCACAGAGATAAAGTATTAAGTTTCACAGATATTACCTTCCGGTAAGTCTACCTCTCATGGACTGAGATGTCTGTGAAAAGGTTTTTACTTGGGAAATACATTATGCCAGGCAGTTGATGGGTACATCCATTTGTTTCTGCACTTTGTTGTTGCACTTTCGAAAATTTCTATTTGGCTTCATTTAATAACTCCTGAGCCAATCAGGTATAATTCATGACATATAATCTCACCAAGAACTAGTGAGTCAGTAGGGGCTGAACACTGCTTTCAGCAGTATTTAAGTTGCAACACAGTATGTGATCTAACTGCTGGAGCGGGCCTTAAGAAAATCTAACATATTCATTTGTTTGATGAAATTACTGAAACTCAACTCCTGCCCTTGACAAACAATCCAGGGCTGTTCTCATGGCATCATGGCTAGGAATCAGGCACACTTAATGGATACACTGAAAATGGTGATGCATTAGATGAGTATGCCACCCATGATGGTTCACCACCAACAAGACTAGTAAAACCAGTACTCCAGTAAAACCAGGGTCCCGATCCACAAAACGTTCGTAGCGCTACGACATTCTTAAGTCTATGATAAACTACAGAGTTACGACAGGTCGTAACGTTACATGGTGCTATGCTAGTACGGATGCTTTGTGGATCGGGACCCTGTACTCCAGTAAAACCAGTACTCCATATGTTTGTGTGGTATTTCCGTTCTGCCTTCTCACTTCATCTCACACGTAGGTGTACGAGACAATGACTGGGTTCTGTAGTGCTGATTATGGGATTAACAGGTCCGTGTTTCAGTAAGTAATCTCACTTTGTGCGTCTGCCCTTGCCAGCTGTGTTGATGACCCTGCCGTCTGCCAACACGACCTCCATGTTGAGGACGTTCTCCCTCATCGTCCCGTACCTCACTGCATTGGTGCCTGATGCACTGGTAGCACACATTCCACACAGAGAAGCATCTGCACCCGGATCTGCATGTACGAGAGAAGATAAAATAATTCTCTCAGCTAAATCTATGACAAACATGACAAACATTGACTAAGTCACACATTCCATAACAGTGAGACTCTGCCATCACCACAATCATGATAAAGAAAGCCACGTCACAAGGAAATAATGTGGATCAGACCATGCATGATGAATGTAACCATCCACCCTATCTATGTCAGCTCTGGCAACAAGCATGGGGTAATCAACACCTATTCCACATTCACTAATATGTGGCTACTATTCATGGGAGATAAGTATCACAATGTAATCTCAGTAAGGTCTCTTGGGCAAGAGGGCATTAACAATATATATAACTGGATCGAATGTAAGACAGTTTTTGTATCGTACCAATTGGGAACATCAATCCCGTGTCACGAAGGTAAGCATTTAACCCTTGACGAGACACCCCTGCCTCCACTTGTGCATCAAAGTCCTCCTGATGCACGGACAGTATCTTATCCATCTTGCTCAGGTCCAGTGTAACGCCTCCCTGAAATTACCATAAACATTAGAATGATATTTCCAGAAATTCAGTGTGCAGTAATTCACATAAAAGAACATCTTATAAAATGACACAAATAAACCAAAGTATTTACTTCAAAGAAGGCTACAATGTGATAACATTAGAGCTGTCACATGGACAGACTGTAGCCTACCCTTAGTGACATGTCACTATGTAGCCTACCCTCAGTGACATGACACAATGTAGCCTACCCTTAGTGACATGTCACTATGAAGCCTACCCTCAGTCACATGACACTATGTAGCCTACCCTTAGTGACATGTCACTATGTAGCCTACCCTTGTAGCCTACCCTATAACATGACTATGTAGCCACCACTGTAGTAACATGTGACATGTCAATATGTAGCTTAGTGACATGTCACTATGTACATGCCTACCCTTAGTGACATGACACTATGTAGCCTACCCTTAGTGACATGTCACTATGTAGCCTACCCTTAATGACATGACACTATGTAGCCTACCCTTAGTGACATGTCACTATGAAGCCTACCCTCAGTGACATGACACTATGTAGCCTACCCTTAGTGACATGTCACTATGTAGCCTACCCTTAGTGACATGGCACTATGTAGCCTACCCTTAGTGACATGTCACTATGTAGCCTACACTCAGTAACATGACACTATGTAGCCTACCCTTAGTGACATGGCGCTATGTAGTCTACCCTCATTGACATGTCACTATGTAGCCTACACTCAGTAACATGACATGTCACCCTTATGTGACATGGCACTATGTAGTCTACCCTTGACATGTGACATGGTAGACACTATGTAGCCTACCCTACAGTCTACCCCTACATGACACTATGTAGCCTACCCCTCAGTGACATGTCACTATGTAGCCTACCCTTAGTGACATGTCACTATGTAGCCTACCCTTAAGTGACATGTCACTATGTAGCCTACCCTTCAGTGACATGACACTATGTAGCCTATGTAGCCTACCCTCAGTGACATGACACTATGTAGCCTACCCTTAGTGACATGGCACTATATAGCCTACCCTAAGTCACATGACACTATGTAGCCTACCCTCAGTGACATGTCACTATGTAGCCTACACTCAGTGGCATGGCACTATGTAGCCTACACTCAGTGACATGTCACTATGTAGCCTACACTCAGTGGCATGTCACTGTGTAGCCTTACCCTTAGTGACATGGCACTATATAGCCTACCCACAGTAACATGACACTATGTAGCCTACCCTTAGTGACATGGCACTATGTAGCCTACCAGCAGTAACATGACACTATGAAGTCTACCCTTAGTGACATGGCACTATGTAGCCCACCCTCAGTCACATGACACTATGTAGCCTACACTCAGTGACATGTCACTATATAGCCTACCCTTAGTGACATGTCACTATGTAGCCTACCCTTAGTGACATGACACTATGTAGCCTACCCTTAATGACATGTCACTATGAAGCCTACCCACAGTGACATGACACTATGTAGCCTACCCTTAGTGACATGGCACTATGTAGCCTACCCTAAGTCACATGTCACTATGTAGCCTACCCTTAGTGACATGGCACTATACAGCCTATCCTCAGTCACACGACACTATGTAGCCTACCCTCAGTGACATGTCATTATGTAGCCTACCCTAAGGGACATGTCACTATGTAGCCTACACTCAGTGGCATGGCACTATGTAGCCTACACTCAGTGACATGGCACTATGTAGCCTACACTCAGTGGCATGTCACTGTGTAGCCGTCCCTTAGTGACATGGCACTATAGAGCCTACCCACAGTAACATGACACTATGAAGCCTACCCTTAGTGACATGGCACTATGTAGCCTACCCTCAGTCACATGACACTATGTAGCCTACACTCAGTGACATGTCACTATATAGCCTACCCGTAGTGACATGTCACTATGTAGCCTACCCTTAGTGACATGACACTATGTAGCCTACCCTTAATGACATGTCACTATGAAGCCTACCCTTAGTGACATGACACTATGTAGCCTACCCTTAGTGACATGGCACTATGTAGCCTACCCTCAGTGACATGTCACTATGTAGCCTACCCTTAGTGACATGGCACTATATAGCCTACCCTAAGTCACATGACACTATGTAGCCTACCCTCAGTGAAATGTCACTATGTAGCCTACACTCAGTGGCATGGCACTATGCAGCCTACACTCAGTGACATGTCACTATGTAGCCTACACTCAGTGACATGTCACTATGTAGCCTACACTCAGTGGCATGTCACTGTGTAGCCTTCCCTTAGTGACATGGCACTATATAGCCTACCCACAGTAACATGACACTATGTAGCCTACCCTTAATGACATGGCACTTTGTAGCCTACCAGCAGTAACATGACACTATGAAGCCTACCCTTAGTGACACGGCACTATGTAGCCTACCCTCAGTCACATGACACTATGTAGCCTACACTCAGTGACATGGCAATATTTAGCCTACCATCAGTCACATGTCACTATGTAGCCTATCCTCAGTCACATGACACTATGGGGGCGGTGGGGTAGCCTAGTGGTTAAAGCGTTGGCTCGTCACGCCGAAGGCCCGGGTTCGAATCCCCACATGGGCACAATGTGTGAAGCCCATTTCTGGTGTCCCCCACATTGCTGGAATATTGCTGGAATATTGCTAAAACGGATACTATGTAGCCTACCCCATACTCACTCACTCACTCACATGACACTATGTAGCCTACCCTCAGTGACATGTCACTATGTAGTCTACCCTCAGTGACATGTCACTATGTAGCCTACCCTCAGTCACATGACACTATGTAGCCTACCCTCAGTCACATGACACTATGTAGCCTACCCTCAGTCACATGACACTATGTAGCCTACCCTCAGTGACATGGCACTATGTAGCCTACCCTCAGTCACATGACACTATGTAGCCTACCCTTAGTGACATGGCACTATATAGCCTACCCTCAGTCACATGACACTATGTAGCCTACCCTTAGTGACATGGCACTATGTAGCCTACCCTCAGTCACATGACACTATGTAGCCTACCCTTAGTGACATGGCACTATGTAGCCTACCCTCAGTGACATGGCACTATGTACCCTACCCTAAATGACGTGACACTATGTAGCCTACCCTCAATGACGTGACACTATGTAGCCTACCCTCAATGACGTGACACTATGTAGCCTACCCTCAATGACGTGACACTATGTAGCCTACCCTCAATGACGTGACACTATGTAACCTACCCTCAATGCATTGATCCCTCCCTCTAAGCCTGTTCCTGTGCCGAACGGAATGAGGGGGACCTCATTATCATTACACAGCTTGGCAATCTGGCTCACATGCTCAGTGCTCTCAGCAAACACAACAACATCTGGTGGGGAGCAGCTAAAAATAAACAAGGGAAAAAAATAAGACTTCAAAACACCTGAACAAGAAAGAATAGGTTAGAATTAGTATTACTGGTATACAGCAACACACTGTTCAAGCGATATGTATTTTATATGAATAAAACCAATATATTGGGTTAAAACTATTGTGTGATTATCTCTATGGTTTAAGCTAATTTAAAATCTACACAAACTATTATTCACAACAGATATTTCTGTTGGTAATTAATTGACAAAATGGCATACTTTATATACTGCAAATTGTATGAAAAAAAGAAAGAAAGAATCCCCAGCTATTTTATTTGGGCCTTAGTATGTAGAAACAGGATCTGCATGTACAATTATCGTCACTCACTGTCAAACCATTTAGCTAACAATATATAGCACAATATGTATTGCAATACACAGCCCTACTGGTCAGGATCAGTGACTAGAGCCAACAACACAAATCACACAAGCAATCACTTGACCACTATTTACAGCCAGAGACATAATACTGTTGACTGTGGCAGGAAACAACAAGAAAAGCCAATATAGAACAAACTTTATGGATAACAACTTCTTTTTATTTGTGAGTGCAACGTTTTGATACAGATTCTTGTACTGTTGTTAAACATGTTTGACAACGGTACAAGAATCTGTATCGAAATGACAACGGTACAAGAATCTGTATCAAAACGTTGCACTCACGAATAAAAAGAAGTTGTTATCCATAAAGTTTGTTCTATATTGTACTTCCCAACTTCTAAAATGCCACTCAAAGAAGAAAAGCCAACATATCCCATCTCATTTCCTGCATAGTTGACAGAATTTCCAAAAAGATTGAGCAAAAGTAGAGGGTTTCCTTTATACCCTTGCACATGTCCATGACAAGACTTTCAAATATTTCTACTAAACTATTCTATTTCAATCTAAACTAACTGATCAGATGTTAAAGAGTCCTTTAAAATGGTCATGTAATTCATGCCTATTGTGTTTCCACCATTATGGTCACTAGCTATTGATTAAGGAACCTCTTGTAATGATACGTATGGGTATTCAACACGGGATCTATTCATACAGAAAAGCTAGCTCATGAAGTTAAGAGAAAATGACAGTGTGTCACTCACTCGTGATATGACTCATCTCTCCCATGCTGTTCTCGCACTGCCGCAGCAGTAGAAACATTTGAACCTCCAACAACATCAGTTAGGGCTTGCACGAACCGATCTGACACTTCAGCTTTCTGTAATCAAACATACATTCATGATCACTGCTTAGACCTAGATCACATTTGCCATGGGCGCCGTAGTAGTCTATGATTTTTTGGCATTGTGGATGACTGCCGTCTACGACGTTTGTGTTCACATTGTCTACGGGCATCGTGCGATATTCTTAGGGACCGGGCCGAGGCAAACCTGCATGGCGGCTGCACAGAAATTGTACAGAGATCTTACAAGTGGATATCCTACGATCTGACAATCCTTTAGTTCCAAAATCTGTGCGTTTACTGCACCATGCGGTGACTGTGCGATGCAACCTATGGGCTGTGGGCTTAGGTTTTTCTCAAATTATTAAATTTCAAAACTTTGCTGTTTGACAAAATCGGAGAGGCCCGTAGGATCGTGCGATAATTACACGGCCACCGCATGGAAATGGAGCTACAGGCAGTTTACGGCTGCCGTAGACCCATTGCAGGCCAAATGTGAACCAGACATTAATCACTGACTTAAGCGCATTGTGCAACGGAATGTTTCAAAAAGTATCCACAAATCTGTGTTACAGCTCATCTAGTTTTATCATTGGCGAGTCAGATGTTACAAGTTGTAACAGAGGCAGCTTGAACATGTTGATATACAGTCAGTGGGTGGAAAGTTGCCATGGTTACAAATTTATTCCTAATCCTACAGCATTCAGCAGTATATGCTTTCCAATAGAGATTCCAAAGAATTGAGATTGTTGATGTCCCTGAAAGTTTACATAATATTAATATTTGCTCAAAGATCCTTCCAATCAAGTACATTTGTCCTCATAATTCAGTGATTAATTATGTTCAAATTCAGCAGTTCTAATTTAAATGTTAAAACTTTGTTGCATATATAAGACCCAAATATTTTATTCTTTCAATTTAGTATTCAAGTAACGGCGAATACAAATTTTTAGATAACAACTCCTTGTTTATTACACACAGCAATGTTTTGATGTAGATTCTTACACCTTTATCAAACTGAAATAGAATATACATTTATTTTATGGTTTGAATGTAATTTGACGATGATCTTCCCAAAAGTTTTCTTGCTATTAAATTCAGTTTGACAAAGTCAAAATCCTGCTGCTTTTCACAACATACTTACACTTCTCATCACCTGGCTGTAGTCACTTTTAATGACTTAAGAATCTACATCTACATCACTCTAATCAATCAACAAGGAGTTGTTATCCATAATGTCATATGCTACATTATTTACTTACAGAATGCAGATCAAAGATTCAAGTATTCAAACTAAGTTCAACACCTGTCCCTTTGGGGTCACAACGCACAAAGGATATATGGTGTAGAGTTCCTGGCATTTTACGTGGTGCTGGTCCGTAGAATATGCCCTTGTGGGTTACAGTAATTCAACATATTTTCCGGTTCATTCTCTTTAACAATACCTACTGCATTCTGTTTACTTTAATCTGTATTTGGGTGTCTATTAAGGCTGAAGGGGTCATTGTCATCACAGGTACTACAGATATGTACCCCAGGTATACAGAAATGTAACGTAAACAAAGTCAAAATACTGAAACGTACCGGTACCCTAAACTGGAGGCTAGTCCATATTCCGCAACCCAAAACAGAAACTGAACATTCGTTACTGTGTATGCTCATTACTCATATAACACAATCAAATCTATCTCATATAGCATTATCATTATAACAGTTTCCTGCAAGAAAACGGCACAATGTGGAATAGAATCGTCCTAGGGTACACTTCTGTATTCCGATTTTGCCTCAGGTACGTTTCTGTATACAAAAACGTACTTGGGTACACATCTGAAGTACCTGTGCCGACAACTATAAACACATGTATAACAACTATAGTTTACTGGAACCCAAAAAGCGTTATGGCTTGCTGACATTTGCACATGAATGTACTAGAGCAGTAAATTTTTAAATATGTTCTTCTGGAGTTCTTGACATCTGAGACTGATAACAAAACGCAGGACACGCAGTGTTGAAGTGATCCACCTGGTAAAGAACCAAGTGAAACATAAAGCCTATGATATTCAAAGGCAGTGTCACCTGTGCATGTGCATTCCTGCACGTGTAAGATGAAGTGCTCGACCGAACTAGTGCAAAAAGCTTTTGTGAGAATTGCCGTGTCCACATGGTGTTTCCAACTTTTATGTCCGTTCGAAGTTGATCAACATTCGCAGTAGTGTTTCCTCAACGACCTTGACCCGCACAACAACAAGGAAAGGTCAAGTTTACACCATCGCATTTTTCTTATTGTGTTTCATAAGACAAAGTATTATTTTGTTTCGTTATCATTTCTTTCCAAAGTCGTTGGGAATGGATCGCTTAGGAAAAATATTCTTGTCGATGGCGGAAGTGGAAGTCACGTGATCGTCCTTTCACCCGGCCACCATCATGGTAAGAGACATGTGGCTGTGAAAGTCTGCAAATATAACTGATTTCACCGTATTTAACGGCATTTTATTCAGCAAATCATGTCTCGGTTTTGAATTAGTAGACACTAGTTTAAATGTGAAAGTTTCATCTTCTCTTTATCGTCGAGGAATAAGCACTTGGGGTCAATATGAAAACATTCTCCAAAACCATGTGTACTTGCAGGTTGTCTCCCCTGGGTACTAAGTTTATTCTTGACTTAAAATCTTCAGACAGCTCCACTTTTATACATAAGAAAAAGATGGTTCTGGAATAAGCACCTTACAGATCATACTGTTTAAATCAAGTACAATTCTTAATATGGCCCACCTCTGCCCTTTAATGAGTATAACACTATTATATCTCATGACAATATGTAAAGAATAGCCAGCTTTTTCAATATCACTGATTGTTTAGTGTTATTTGATGCATTCTTGTCATTGAGTGTGTATCATGGATTTTCACATGAAATGATGAGCCTTGTATGATAGGAATTGCCGTCAGAATTGTATTGCTGACAATTTCTAATCTGAATCATGTGAATTATAGATGTACACATGTATGACATTATATCATAATTTCTTCGTACAAGACATCAAGATTGGAACAAAATTATTGGAAATGTGATCTTATCTATTTAAAGTGTTGCTTATTAGAAGACATTTTGTGTAACTCTGAGGAGTGGATCATGAATTCCATTCCAGAAGGTTTCTTAGTGTATGTTGTTCGTAGCTGTTTGCTTAAAATCATAGGTATAGATTATTGTGTAAGTTTATAACCACATGTACCCAGGAGGAGCAGTTCAACTCATCAAACTACCTCAATAATGTTTGTAAGAATGTAAGTGGGATATGTTGGTAATTCAAATTCCAGTTTCCTGAATGTCAGACAATGCTGACAGTTTACACAATTAGTTTTTAATTTGTTGGATATTGATGGATAGTTAGTCATTTAAAATATCCTGGAGATAATTATCAAATCTGATAATGATGCATCAGAAGTTGATAGATCATAAGAATGTATAAATGGCATTTGTCTCCTTTATAATCACTACAATTATATCTTAATGATCAGATTTAGAGTTACACATTGTTGTCATAATATCTTTAACCAGCCAGTTCGTCCACATGAAATGATGAGCCTTGTATGATAGGAATTGCCGTCAGAATTGTATTGCTGACAATTTCTAATCTGAATCATGTGGTATTGGTAAAGAAGAAATTGCAGATCTGTTCACTGTAGTTGACAAGTTTCACATTTGGACAAATTGCCCTCAAATATTTGACTGAGACACTTAAGAGAACACTAGGAAGTAAGTGTGCAGAATCAGACTAGCAATTCATGAATTTCAGGTAACACCATGAAGATACTTTACACAATGCGTTGACCTTGCTAATTGTGGGGTAGCCTAAAGTACTGTCAGAAATAGAAAAAAAATGTTTTTAGGCTGTTACTCTTATATGTCGAAATAACCCACATCGGCCTAACTGGGCGTTCAGGGGGATGCATAATAAGATATTCAGAAAAGCATGTTTACTCATAAAATAGGCCAAAACTTAGAAAAAATACGAATAGCTGCTGAAAACAATAGATCAGACTATAGATGGCAATTAGGTCGCTCAGCCAGGTATGACGACGGACCGTCAACTCACATGGCATGAAATGCACGTGCTGCCCACAGGCTCAAGGGGTCATCTCAAAGATATTTTATGTTTTTTCATGTGTAATGAACATGTCTCTATTGATTATCTTAGCTAATATCTCTAATTGTTACAAGAGTATGATTGTTGTGAACATGGTGAAATCTAATCCAATTATTACTTATGATACTACTAGAGTCCAAATTTCAAAACAGTTCTTTCAAAATTTTAGGTTTCCCAATCTCTTTGACCACATGAAATGATGAGCCTTGTATGATAGGAATTGCCGTCAGAATTGTATTGCTGACAATTTCTAATCTGAATCATGTGGCGTTGAGTGGACAGTGTAAAAGCTTTATTACTTTGTTTTTTAGGGTTTCTTTGGAATTTTGCAAATACGCTATGATCTCAAGGCTTGATAATCCAGACTTCTGTATTTTTCACTTGGTCTTCTCAAGATTAGAAATGGTGACTACTCTCCACTCACTGTCAGTGGCTTCGTTGACTCTGTGTTGTCATGTGATTGTAGGATGGTGCTTGTAATATCAGCCTCTTGTTTGTCTAAAAATTAGTTGTAATCTGCTATGATGCAGCTGGAATATTCCCACCTTATTTACTGATTTGAATTATTACTGTATTGCACGATATAGCCAGTTTATGCAAGCACCGTCATGGTACTGATTATTGTTGACTGTTAGGGCTTCTGGTGGCATTTGAGAAGTAACAACCAATAATTAGGTAGATTCTTGCCCCCTGTTCACACCTTCATGTCGATGTTCTTGGTGTTTATGCCTGTACAGCCCTGCTTGTTCATGATGAGCCTTGTATGATAGGAATTGCCGTCAGAATTGTATTGCTGACAATTTCTAATCTGAAACACATGGTTTGCAGGCATAATTATGATATAGTATGACCAGAAATTATTGAGAATTTTAGGAATATGTTTAATTGGATTTCTGGTATAAACAACCTTGACCAGCGATCAAGTGCTTGGTTTCATTCAAGAGAGACAGCTCCATTAATCATTTTTCATTAGTTTGTGAAGGGTTATCCCCCTTTGTTTACTTGCTAGCAGACAACATTTTCAGTGATCCTCAGTATGGATGATTTAGAGAAGAGGAAGTTGATTTTAGAGTATTATAACAAGGACATCAGATCAGCTAAAGTGATTTCAAGTAGAACAGGCATCCCTTTGTCCACTGTTTATCGTGTTTTGAAAAGTATTGCAAATGGATATGGCACTGAGCACCAGGGAGGCGCAGGTAGGCCCAGAAAATTGACTGTCAGTGACAGGAGGCGGCTTGGTATTCTTGTTTCTAAAAACAACCGAAGGAGGTTAGAAAACTTAACGGCTGGATATGATTGATAGAGGAACTGTGGCTGTCTGTAAGGAGACAATTAGAACTGAGCTGCATGCAATGGGTTGGCAGAAAGTCGAATTCCATCACCGATCATGAAACCTGAACAAAAGGAGCGGATGTTTTGGATTTTCCAGCAGGACAACGACCCAAAACATCGTTCAAAGCATTCACAGGCCTGGTTTCGGACCCAAAATATGACATTATTAGATTGGCCAAGCTATAGCCCTGACCTAAATCCAATAGAAAATGTTTGGGGACTTATGAAGGAAAGTGTCAATAAGAAAAATCTGACAAATATTGCTGAAATGAAAGAAGAGGTGGTCCAATATTGGGACAGCATGGACCACGACTTTCTAACTTCTTTGACCAGTAGTATGCCCAGCCGCATGGAGTTAAGTTCTGCTAATATTCACATTTAATACATGAGTAATGAGTGAATTTTTTTTTTTAATTTACAATCTTTAAATTCTCAATAATTTCTGGTTGTACCGTATGAGGATGTTTTGGTGACAGTTACATCACGTGACAATGAACAAAATGTCCAGCACCTAGTAATAGAGTATTCAGAACAATAATTAAAACCCTACTGGTATTTTGTTTCAGCAGATAACTGTGTTGACGTTTATTCTGTATTTCAGCCATTCAGACGATTTGTGGAAGTTGGTCGTGTAGCCTATATCGCCTTTGGCGATGACAAAGGAAAACTGGCTGTCATCGTTGATGTGCTGGATCAGAACAGGGTAAGGACTTTCACAGTATCTCGGAATCATCCATGTTCATGATGAGCCTTGTATGATAGGAATTGCCGTCAGAATTGTATTGCTGACAATTTCTAATCTGAGACATGGATGACCAAGGTTACAGATATCCTCTCGCATACCTGTAATGAAATACTTCAGATTATTTGTCATAAAGAAACTTGTTTTCACGTCTTGTTCTCAGTTCTTCATGTTGTTGTTGATGATCATCGTCAAGGAATACATTCAGTATTAAGTGGCCGTAGTTTCATGTCCTGAGAAGACATGTTGCATTCAAGGATGTCAGTGGAAACAGACCATAGTTTCTATGAAAAGTTTTGAGAAAGTAAATAGCTTCTCAGACACTTCATGACCTAAGCTGATCTATGGAACTGCATGCCCCCAAATACTGATGCATTATTTGGATACTTACTAATTACCTCTCACTGTTCTATTTCGGCAGTGTCTTATTGACGGACCCTGCTCCAACGTGACCCGCAACAGCATCAACTTCAAAGCTCTCCAGCTCACCCCCTTCAAGCTAAAGCTGGGTCACTCTGCCCGCACTGGCACAGTCATCAAGGCCTGGAAGAAGGAGGGCATTGACAAGAAGTGGAGTGACACTACATGGGCAAAGAAACTCGCAAACCAAGAAAAGGTAACTATGGAATGTCAAATATGAGCCACTGCTTTGTCTTGACACAAACACATAAACACCCATAGGAATGTGATGCCTCCTTCCGACACTGAAACATGTAAACAGGAGAACATAATTTATAACCCGCAAAGTACACCCTCATACCCAGACTGTCAGTGTTGTAGACGGGCAAAAGCAAGCACAGAGTTTAAATGGTGGGATGAAATGAACGGTGTTGTAATTTGTTTTTGTCTTTGGCTGCTGTTTAAAACCATCTTGACCAGCAATTTACCCACAAGTCCTGAAATGATTTAAGATTGTTGCTTGAAGCAAATTGGGAGTTAAAGAAATTCTCTCTGCAGTGGAGTAAATCTTTTTACTTGCAGAGGTAGTTTTTCAACTGGAAAAATAAAGCTCCTACATGAATCTGTCACCTAACATTCGTGTTTCTGCTCTTACTGGTTTGTTCTTCCTTCACAGAAAGCCATGTTGTCAGACTTCGACAGATTCAAGTTGATGAAGGCCAAACAAGCTGTAAGTGATTTTAGTAATGTTTAACATAAATTGAAATATATCTCTTTTGATTCATATTATTTTTTTTCTGGAATGGAACTTACACTGACAAATAAATTAATGTTAGTTATGATTATGAACAAGAAACATATGTAATAATGGTCATAACTAGAGACTATAAATTTAGAAACTGTATGCCACAATGGTTGTTTTGTTGTTGTACATGCGTATGAATTATGAAGTTCACTTATTGCTGTTCTTTTTTCAGAGAAACCGTGTGATTAAGGTTGAGTTTGGCAAGTTGAGGAAAGCAGCCAGAAAATCTGCAAAGAAATAAACTTGTATATTGTCAATAAACAAAGCTGCTGAGACTGTAAAATTGCGTTAGTCTTTTGCCGAAATTACATAATAGCTCGTTCAACCAACCTCATGCTTGGCTGTTGTTGACTGCTACAGATATAACCTGCACTCGTTGAATACTAGTTTGGCCAATCAATGTAGGCCAGGTTCTTGTGAATCACTTTGACGTAACACCAGTATTGGACCGCATTCCCTTTACCATGGTTGTAAAATCTTTGGATTCCTGACAGTCTCTTGTCACAATCTAATGTGCTGTCATAGATGGAACCTGTAGAGGTGTCGGTCCTCCTGTCACTGGGCTCGAGAGGCTCAACTGCCCAGTCAAGGGTGTAGAGGTATTGGTCCTCCTGCCACTGGGCTCCTGGAGGAGAGGCTCAACTGCCTAGTCAAGGGTGTAGAGGTGTCGGTCCTCCTGCCACTGGGCTCCTGGAGGAGAGGCTCAACTGCCTAGTCAAGGGTGTAGAGGTGTCGGTCCTCCTGCCACTGGGCTCCTGGAGGAGAGGCTCAACTGCCTAGTCAAGGGTGTAGAGGTGTTGGTCCTCCTGCTACTGGGCTCCTGGAGGAGAGGCTCAACTGCCTAGTCAAGGAGAGAGGTGTCGGTCAACTGCCACTGGGCTCAAGGAGAGGCTCAACTGCCTAGTCAAGGGTGTAGAGGTGTCCTCCTGTCCTCCTGCCACTGGGCTCCTGGAGGAGAGGCTCAACTGCCCAGTCAAGGGTGTAGAGGTGTTGGTCCTCCTGCCACTGGGCTCCTGGAGGAGAGGCTCAACTGCCCAGTCAAGGGTGTAGAGGTATTGGTCCTCCTGCCACTGGGCTCGAGAGGCTCAACTGCCCAGTCAAGGGTGTAGAGGTGTCGGTCCTCCTGCCACTGGGCTCCTGGAGGAGAGGCTCAACTGCCTAGTCAAGGGTGTAGAGGTGGTGGTCCTCCTGCCACTGGGCTCCTGGAGGAGAGGCTCAACTGCCCAGTCAAGGGTGTAGAGGTGGTTGAACATTATCAATTGTTTCTGAAAATCTTTGGTACATATTTTGTTTAAAAAAATAGAATACAAAGGCCAAGAAAGATGGGCAGCAGATTGTTTGGGTAGTGCCGCGGTTAAAGCATTTGCTTATGCTCTAAGGGGATTTGAATATCAGAAGCTAATTTCTGGTGTGTCCCCATTAGCCCCAGCCAAGATATTCCTGAAATACTGAAGTCAGTGTAAAACCGAACTCATTCATTCCTTCACTTTATCATTTTGCGAAAGAATATGCAAATGGAGGCATCCTCTTCAATAAAATGCCATATTTTGGTTGGCTTGGAGAAGAGCTGGGAGTAATATTACTGAGGTGAGGTGATCAGTATATAATCATAACTGAGGAATGTAGGCAACTGAGGGAACTTGACGATATAGCAATTTGACATCAAGAACTATCGCAAATAGTTGTATACATTATGTTTAATGTTCTTGTTTAAAAGAGATGATACATCTGAAGTACGAGACACTAGCATCAGCAACACATTCCCATGCATGCATCTTCGGCACAGGTACAAGCTGATTTTTACCTCACTGAATGTGGGATCTGAACCTTGAAGTAAGTAGGTTGATACAATATCCTTGGCGTGGATCTTGAGTCATGACTGGTTATCAACACAACATTCATTCTCTTAGAAAAGCAATGGCAAACACACACACTTGAACAACCAGAAAAAGCCTGCTATCTGCACTGGTGACAAAAGTAACATTTGCATTATAAGAATGTCTCAAATTCGGATCGTTGAGCTCAAAACAGCTTTGTGATTTTATGCATTCTGTTGTATGACGTACGGACGTAAAGCACAGCGAAGCACTCGTAAAATGACTGGGTATCGGCTACATATGAATTGCTGCTAATAATTTATGTTGCATTCTCGTTGAGAAAAAAAATGCATCCTGGCATCTATGCTTTGTTGGACTACATTACAGCTAAACGAATGTTCTTAACTCTTGACCTTTGACGTAATGGAATACTGATGGTTACAGTGCGGGTTAACATTACATTACGTGGTTAACACACCTCAATGTATCTGCTGTGGTATTACGGAATAATAAATAAAACGCACCTAAATTTAAAATATATAAATGTTCCCGGAAGTGACCCGGAAATTGTTTTCAAACTCTAAGGGGAACCGAAGATAAATTCTGTCTATTGTCTTCGGCGTGTAATTCTCTCAAACTCCGAAATATCGGAAGGTGGGGGGAGGAGACAGATACACCTATCATGTTAAATGATTCACACATGTTGTACACCAGTCTCTGGTCTGCGACACACACATCGTGCGAGTGTTCAGGAGAAATTAACATGCACGAAGTCGAGGCTTTTCTAGACAATATCGCCCAATTTTATCTTTGTGACCAACAAGTTTGAAAACAAGCTTGAGGGCAAAAAAGAATCGGAATCGTCTCGCCTTGTATTTATTTTTAAAAATTCTAAATACCTGCCAATCATTTTTCAGTAAGGCATTTATAGCCGAATGACATGCTTGTCTATGACGTCACAAAAGCCTGACGTCAGCGCTTGTTTGCGCATTGAAGCGTCTGTCGCTCTGCCATTTAGGTGCTACTGTCTTGAGGACAGCAGTTATGTCGGGCAACCTAAATGAAGGGACCCGTATGTCCCTGTACGGCAAGTCTTACCTCAGCCCAGATGCCAAAGCTGGATTGTGGAAAAATGCCCTCAGCGTATGTATACTATATGCGGATTTGGATTATTATGTGTTTCGTTTCCCCGTGCAGTGGTATGTCCAGATAAATACTTAGATATGCTAAGAACCATGTTTTAGCTGACGAGAAATGGCACGTAACATTCCATGGCTTCGTATCAGTGTTGAATTCTGTAGTCTTGACCTGTATCCATGGCAATCTACGTCAAACTTTCTTTTCATTATGAAATTTCAACTCTGTAAACCTCGAAGCTCTTGTTTTGCGCACAGTTTGAACAGAAGTTTTATACTTGATGCAATCTGTTCAAATCAGTATGTTTAGAAAGCAGTCGTCATAATATATCATATCACAAATGTCAGAACTGTTGAATATATGGCGTTACCTTTTTGGCCCACAAGGAATGTTAAATTATACTGTTACTGAAAAACCCCAAACACTTATGATCAGGTGGTCAGGCTCACTGACTTGATTGACACATATCATCGTATCCCAATTGCGTAGTACGATGCTGATGCTGTTAATCAATGGATTGTCTGGTCCAGACTCGATTATTTACATACCACCGCCATATCACTGGAATATTGCTGAGTGTAGCGTTAAACAACAATAAATCAATGCAAACATATATGAAACGGGTCGGAAATGTCTGTATGACTTGCACACACAGTTTTAATCACTTGCTTGTTCAGAAGTGCAGAATTTGTTTTCCCCTGCAATACAAGCTGTTGTTCTGTTAAACCTGAGATACACGTTGGTGTTATGTTTCCCCAGAGATACGGGTACATCCGGCGTCACCACCTGTCCATCAAGGGAGACGGGTCGGAGCTCTTCACCGGTGAAACCCTCTACAGTCAGGAGATGCTGGACAAACTGAAGACCAGCTGCTACGGTCCGCGGACACGTACGACCACGGTACGACACAATTTACTGAAATACATGTATGTTAACGTACTGAAGACACCATTTTATGGACGTGGAAGGGACAGCACAAGTCGTCGGATTTTTAGTGGAATTATTCGCCACTCCTGTAACGCGTTGGCAAGTTCTGCAAGTGACTGAGGACGATGGTGACGTTTACGGGCGCGTCGATCAAGTTCGCACCATAGATGCTCGATCGGGTTCAGATCAGGCGATTTGGAAGGGCATTGAGGGCGGTGGGGGTACTCTAGTGGTTAAAGCGTTTGCTCGTCACGCCGAAGACCCGGGTTCGAATCCCCACATAGGTAGAATGTGTGAAACCCATTTTTCTGGTGTCCCCCGCCGTGACGTTGCTGGAGTATTGCTAAAAGCGGCGTACAACTAAAACTCAGTCAGTGGAAGGACATTGACGTTTGCTTGGCGAGCTGTTTGGGGTCGTGTTGAACCAGCTCCCTCTGGCGGTTAAAAAGGGGAGTAGGTGAGGTCGCAGGATTTGGTCGATGTAGCGGTTTGCTGTAAGATTGCCTTGAATTACCACTAGTTCTGATCTACCCGTAAAGGACGTGGCTCCCCATACCATGACGCCTCTCCAACAAAACGTTCGTGTTGACGTCCATAGACACGTTGTCTCCCATCCTGTCTTTGCAGGAGGAAACGCGTTTCATCGCTGAACCAAACGCGTTCCATGCGTTCCCCAGGTTCCATGCATGTACCCTGTTGCACCATAGGACACGTCGTTGTGGGTGTAGTCGTGTCAGGACAGGTCCAACATGCTCGAATTCCCACTTCTCTCAGACGATTTCTGATGGTTTGGTCGGAAATTCTGCGAAGACCAGGTACCTGTCCTGCAGTGTTCGTTTCTGTAGCAAATCGGTGACTTAGGTATAACACCCGGATGAATCGAACTGAACTGCTGAAAACGCATATGCGTTTCTTTTTTTAGAAGAGTATACTTTGTGACAAGACATCTTTTATGCTCGTGGTCAGATTGTCACTAGGTTCGAGTTCACACATGGGTAACCTGATATTGCTGGGATATTGCTAAAAGTGGCGTAACACCAAACTCACTCACTCAGACTGTCACTACTAATATACTGTGTGATGAAACATTTTTTATGTTATTGGTCAGACCGTCACTACTAATATACTGTGTGATAAAGCATCTTTTATGTTATTGGTCAGCATCACTTTATGTTACTGGTCAGAAAAGTCTTTTATGTTATTGGTCAGACCGTCACTACTAATATACTGTGTGATAAAGCATCTTTTATGTTATTGGTCAGACCGTCACTACTAATATACTGTGTGATGAAGCATCTTTTATGTTATTGGTCAGACCGTCACTACTAATATACTGTGTGATGAAGCATCTTTTATGTTACTGGTAAAGTCTTTGCTACGAACATACTCAAACAGCGTCTCTATAGATACTACCAGATCTTGTTTTAGATATGGCACGACTATATATAAGGAGACCAACAATCATGGCGTTATCTCAGTTAGGCAACACTCCAGTAATTTGTTGGCCAGATGCAACGGCACCGTCGTCTCGTTACAGGCAGACGTACACGACAACATCTACGACCGGCTGTTTCACCAGAAGGAGGGATTCGACTGCAAGTTACACCGGGACGACAGGAGGCACATCCTGGAGATAGGCAGGGCTGTTCATGAAGAAGTACGTATATAGGTCCTGCTGTGGGCTAACCTCCCCATTTGAATATCTTCTTCCTATTTCCATATATGGTTACCGGTGGCACCAAAAACAGATGCATGTTTCAGAAACCAAGATGGCGACCTGGGAAACCGGAGAACCGAGAAATTCACTGAATTATTGGTTGAAGACTCAGTATGATTTTCTAGAGTAAAGTTATATGAAATTTTGTTTCTAATATTATCGAAACTTCCTTTCGACTGGCTGGGTAGCGTGTATGTTCAAAACCGCGTTTTTGTTTGGGTTTTTTTCATAATGAGCTAACTTTCAGGACTAAATATATCTGACTATAATTGACGTTTTCAGAGTCAATTCTTCATGTTTCAGGAAATCAAACGTGCATGTCCCATGCAGTCGTCATCAGAATTTGGCAGGAGACTTCACGCTCCACTTGAGCCTTTTGACCGCAAGAGGGCCCGAATAGACCACGTGGTGAAAGGTTTCTATTACCCACGAGGCACCGGGCTACCACCAGTTGACTCATGAACACATTCCACCATCCCATGTAAATCAGGCGTCTTTTCACTGAAATTAGTGAGCTTGTATGTTTGTGATTTTTTTCTTCCACAAAGGAAGATATTCAACTTAATATATCTTTATAGGAGCATAAAATGAGGCAACCATCAGTTATGTATTGCGTATGTTTTGTGTGAGTTACATGCATTGGATTCGCGTCGAATGCAGAGTTGTGTCCCTTAGTTGTGCCAAGATGTTTGGACTTTGGCTCGACTATGATCCTTAGCCATGAGTTTCCTGGTGTCTGTTGAAAACTTTATTTCCAAAACGCAAAGAAATTCAAGGTTATGACATTTTACTCAATGCCCAAAATAATCTTCAAGAGAAAGGCTCATAATTGTTGTCATTTGTCAGCTAAAGAGTGAACTGTGTGACTACTGCTATTGATGTAGACTTCCGTGAATGTGGAGGAGAGACCACGTCACCTAGAGTCACAGTTAGGTTTACGTTTCATCTCATTACTCTGAAACATCAAAGTTCAGATAAAGAAACGAGCCTTACTCCATCTGATTCCAGTGAACTTCTCAAGGCGCTACTTTGTCCGCTAACCAGAACTGTATGATGTCTGTAATTATCTTGCCTCACACATAAATGTCGTTTAATTTCTGATTGGCTGAGCGCTCTTCTATTATTTTCAATGTACCCCGTTTACAAGCGAGTAACGTTTTCTATGTACCCCTGGGAATGCCGAACTCATTTGGTACTTTGTAGTTGTAATTCTGTAGCTCGAATAACATTGAATCACGAATGATGTACGGAAATTACCGATGTTTTGCGAATGCAAATCGATGGAAGGCAGATAACTCTAAACTTGTTTTTCTTGTCGTCTGGTACGCCATGCTATGATCCGATACCCATGCTTCAAACAGTTCAAAATTGGTGTTCGGTAAGATAAATACGCTGTTCACTGGTCCCTCGGGGCCCATGGGTTTGATGTACCCTCGATGTTTGTATATGTACCCTCGATGATGGTACCCTCGATAACTTCTTTTATTCGTGAGTGCGACGTTTCGATACAGATTCTTATACCTCGATGTACACCACCCATGTCCCCCTGGAGACCAGTAAACAACTTATAATGTCTCTATGATCGTCACGATCATAGTAAGACGATCTCTTATATGGTATGTGGAGCTAAATGGAGTCCTGTGTGAGCTCAGACAGGCAGAAAAATAACTAAAAAAGTGGTCAAAGGCAGCGTTAAACCAATTCCCCAACTCACTCGTTTATGACGAAAATAATTACTCCAAGCATTCGTAAATTGGATTTATTGTATGTTTATGTCAAAATGATGACAGTCACTTTCAGATTATATGCAAAATATCTGTCCGAAATTTACATGACGCATAATGAAATGTCATCTCAAATTTCACAAAGGTGAAGACATTTAAAGACACAAAAAGAACCAAACCGACCAACATTAACAACATCATTGTTACAAGTGTATTCTTTAAATACTCCATTAACTGATATATATCATGACTAGTTTAAACAACCATAGGTTGACATAATTGTTGTCTAATTGACGCAGTTTGGTATAACTGAGATATCTGCATAATTCAGGCGTCTAGTAACAAGTGAGATAGCTGCATATTTGAGTACTGAACTTCAAGTTTCGAGTTATAAAGTGCAAAAATGGCATTAAGAATAACCTAAATACTGGCATGATTCAGGCGTCTAGTTATACAGATAGCAGTGTATGTGAGGGTATTACGAATAACTGAGATATCAGTTTAATTTAGCAGCGTAATAACTGATATAGCAGCATATTGGAGGCAATTGGGAGTATATGTATTTGAATTAGCAGTTGTAATAAGCGTCTTGTAATAATTAAGTGAAATAGCTGCATGAATAAGGAGATGGCTTAGATATCCTAAAAGGGGTTTACCCTTCACATGTAATAGTCATGGTTGTAATCACAGAAGGTTTACACTTTCAGCACATCTAAATAAATATAAATCACATCCTATTCACATTTCCCTCCCTTAAGGTGTTATTACCTAGGTGTATCGAGTTAAATCCCAGCACCCGCCCACTCCGTAGTACAACTCTCGGTATAGATGTACACACCTTTCTGTTGAACACTGTTCAACCGGAACATCCGGTCTCATGCACACCGTTAAACGTGACCTCATCATGCAGAGGAGTTCCATGGTGTGCTCTAGGCCACAGACTAACAGTCATATATAGAAGAGCCAGAAGGTTGCCAATGCAAAAACAAGTGAAACATGCAAAGAATATATAATCCAGCAGCCTGTCCAGGCGTACCTTCCTGTCCTTTCCCTGTATACCAGTCTCAGCGGGATGCTGTCCGCAAGCGACAAGATCAGAGTCGTCCTGAGGTGTGCATCCTTGGGGGCTCCATTGACCTGCACGTTCTGGCGACGCTGGTAGACATTCAGAACCAAGATGGTGGCAGCGATGGCGAGAAAGCCTTGGGTTTGGATCATGACGAGGAACATGGAGAGTTTTGAAACAGAATCAGACGTTGAGGGCGTGGAGTTGTGGATAAGGCTGAGGAAGAGAGCGTTCGACACAAACACGGTCATGAGAAAGCCCATCTTCTCCCCTGAGCTAGCCGGCAAGAGGAAGACGACGCTATTGAGGGCAGACACTAGACACGTTGGGAAAACCAGGTTCAATACGTGGAAAAAGTACTTTCTGGACAGATGTATGTAGAATGTGGCTTGATGGTAAACGGCTTCGTACGTTTGTTTGGCCGACGTCATGCCTACAGTTTCCCATTCCCCATTTGTTTGAAGGTTCAAGCCTTCTCTGTCCACATTGACCAGTGGTTCTAGGTTGACAGTGTATCCCAGCCCTGAAGCAAACGACACTGGGCAAATCTGACTATTTAGTAAGATCTGTTTTGCACAGGACAGATAGTATCACTGCCTTCTGCCAGTTAAGACCACCATCATATGTTAATGTGACAGGCATCGTCGTCGTCAAATGGCCATCACCCGAAGCTCTATTCGCCAGAATTACACTAGGGGTCCATTGGTCCTGCTGAGCAAATTCCACCAGATCTAAACCTGAATAGTCCGAGGTATTCCATACCAGAGATGCGTCTGTCCAGCTCAGGGTTATATAGAAACCCAGTGTCAGAATTTGGGTGGCATCATCTAGATCATGAACTTGCACTGGCCCAAGTGTGATACTCGCATCAACAGCGCGTGTCTGTGGACTGACCGGTGGCACTTTCGGATCTAGACGAGTATGGAGATAGGACTTCAACGTCTTCAGACTCCGTGTCCAGTCTTCCGGATTCTCGGAGACGCTACGTGACATTAAGGAGGCAACCATGCAGACGAACGTCAGACTAACGCAGGTCATCGTCGTACCTGGCCACTCAGGCTGGGTAACTCACAAAGACTGGTGCAGCTAGATATGTTATACGGTTCTACTGCGCAGATTCCACACGTTGACGTATGCCCGAACCCGACTCCATCGCTTTCATTGGGAGGAAATGCATACACGAACATATTAGAGTGGAAATACAGCGTGCCATTAGTGATTATTAACTGACAATGTACTTTCGGCACGAATTCCAACAATTTATAACCTAAAACCTTATCATGCCACTACATATATGCCGCGCTCGACAATCGTTATTGACATGCGGTGGACGATTGCATATTGATGTCAGCAATTATAATTTAGAAATATTCCAGACAAACCAAATAAATTACCAGCCACAACTGATGTCATACAGCATTCATGTATACGTGGAAAACCAAACAAAAACTAAATATCCCGCGTCTTTGATGACAGAAAGATTGTCTGTCTGGTAGGTGTTGTAAACACTGTTAATGCACATATATCGAGGACAAAGTGAGAGCATATAAATAATCGACGTTACGGAAGGGTTAAACCAATACTGACTAGATCTGCCTCTGACATTCAAGGGGTTCTGTCAAGCATCAGAACACCTCTATATCGTCTAGGTCTCCAGTCCCCCACAGTGATCATCAGTTACACCGCAGGTAACTCTGGGCCGATGATGGCCCCATACATATAAGAGTGAGTGAGTTTAGTTTTAAGCCACACTCAGCAATATTCCAGCTATATGGGGGCAGTCTGTAAATAATCGAATCTCGACCAGACAATCCAATAATCAACAGAATGAGCATCGATCTACGGAATTGGGATGCGATGACATGTGTCAACCAAGTCAGCGAGCCCAACAACCCGATCCCGTTAGTCGCCTCTTACGACAAGCATGGGTTACTGAATGTCCCCTATAGGCTGGAGGTAGGACATGTAAAACTAATACATCGTCTAGGTCTCCTGTCCCCTATAGGCTGGAGGTAGGACACGTAAAACTAATACATCGTCTAGGTCTCCTGTCCCCTATAGGCTGGAGGTAGGACATGTAAAACCCATATATCGTCTCGGTCTCCTGTCCCCTATAGGCTGGAGGTAGGACATGTAAAACTAATACATCGTCTAGGTCTCCTGTCCCCTATAGGCTGGAGGTAGGACATGTAAAACTAATACATCGTCTCGGTCTCCTGTCCCCTATAGGCTGGAGGTAGGACATGTAAAACTAATACATCGTCTAGGTCTCCTGTCCCCTATAGGCTGGAGGTAGGACATGTAAAACTAATACATCGTCTCGGTCTCCTGTCCCCTATAGGCTGGAGGTAGGACATGTAAAACCCATATATCGTCTCTCCGGTCTCCTGTCCCCTATAGGCTGGAGGGTAGGACATGTAAAACTAATACATATCGTCTAGGTCTCCTGTCCCCTATAGGCTGGAGGTAGGACATGTAAAACCCATATATCGTCTCTCCCTGTCTCCTGTCCCCTATAGGCTGGAGGTAGGACATGTAAAACTAATACATCGTCTAGGTCTCCTGTCCCTATAGGCTGGAGGTGGGACATGTAAAACTAATACATCGTCTAGGTCTCCTGTCCCCTATAGGCTGGAGGTAGGACATGTAAAAACTAATACATCGTCTCGGTCTCCTGTCCCCTATAGGCTGGAGGTAGGGACATGTAAAACTAATACATCGTCTCGGTCTCCTGTCCCCTATAGGCTGGAGGTAGGACATGTAAAACTAATACATCGTCTAGGTCTCCTGTCCCCTATAGGCTGGAGGTAGG